ATGGACCTCACTGGTTACGACTTCTCACTAGAACTCCAGGCAACTTCCTCCTGTAGCCAGTCACTAGAGAGAATCAGATTAATTTTCAAGAGTGAGATTTGTAAGGATATCAATCCGTGGTCAAACTAAAAAAGCAAATCTAATCCTTACAAATCAACTCTTCAATGAAAGTTATTGTCATTTATTTGATTTTTATTTGCATACAGTTTGCTTCTGCATAGCTGGATATTTTTTTCTCTAATTTTCAGAAAATACTGTTTTTTCCTAAACAAACTAAAATGTTTTAAGAAGACATACACCGTATTAATACATTATTAAAATCATTAAATATGATACGCAGTATGTTTACAAATCTCTTCCACGGCTTTTCTCACAGGTGAATTTGTTTAAGCTTACTTATTATGAAGACGAGTAATGACTGAGGAAAAGAAAAACACACTTATGGAACTATTACTTATCGTGAATTGGCAGAAGTTGGAATTCATGGGCCATTGGATCCGGTCTCAGTGGCCTAAAGATCTACGAGCTAGCTCTCCTGGTAACCAGAAGGTCCTGGGTTCGAACCCCGGTGGGTGCGTACTGTTGAAGAGTCTCAAACTAGGCTGACGAAACAGCTGTCCAGTACTTCCAGTTGGTTTTCTAATGGTTCTCTAACCGATGTCAGCTCATGATGAAATCCTGTGACCAATATTACTTGACCCTTTTTATGAAGGAACGCATCTATTTATAAAGATTATGTTTCATGTTAGCATGCAATTTTTTAATCAGGTCTCATTGGAAGTGATATGACTTAATAATCCTATCACAGAACTTTACCAGAGTATGAAGTCAAGTAAAGAAGCGGCAAAATTCAAAAAGTAATATAGCAAGGAAAGGATATCGTGACTGCTGGATATAAATAAACCAGTGAAACAGAAAGTAAATGTGATTATCATAAACAATGTCTAATCACTTTTCAGTATTTATTTTTGTCATCCTAGAAAGATTATTCTATCAAACGTAACAAAAGCCTTTATTATTCATTTCATATTATGATAGCAAGGCCATAAGGCAATCTATATGTTAAAGGTTTATACACTGTTTTCAATACTGGTAACTTAAACGATATGAGTACATAATTAAGACTACTTCCTTACTCATCTAAATATTTTTCTGTGATTGAAACACACGTGATATCAAGAATTAATTCGCTTTTTAAAATAATTCAACTAAGATTTAGAACATGAGTGGGACTGATATCACAGACCCACTGCTCCTCAATGAGGTTTTAAAAGAACATGCATTTGCTGCTCTTCCTGACATAGACAATAGATTGGTAACAATTTACGTTCAAACTAGTTGTCAGTTGAGTGAAAGTCTGTAACTATCGCTTCGTAACAGTCCATTACACTGATGAAATTTTTTATTTTTATTCTTTTACGTTCCCAGTGGAACATAGGGCTTCAGGTTAGAGGCTTGAAGTTTCAGTAGCAGCGGTGTTTAATTTTTACGGGATGGGGTTGCTAGCCTCATACCCAACCTTCCCTCTTCACCAGTCTTATTACTGGCTTAGCAAGGTAAAGGAGTGCGTTGGCCGGGGATCGAACCCCGAAGCAGGTGGGTGGTTTGCGAGTATTCTGCGGCTGTGCCACCGACACTGATAAATATTCAGTACTAACTCATCTCGACATTATTATTGTTCACCCTACAATCCTAAATGTTACCTAACTGTCTCTCGAAACACTAAATATTCGGTGTTACAGTGAAGTAAGTTTAAATCACTCTCATCCTTTCCCCTGTTTCCGCATCAAAACTTGGCCTGAAAGATATTTCCACATTCTTTTTGCTATGGTTGATTTGCTGTGGTTTATTATTTTTTCAAACATCTTCATGCAATATGTATAACAAAGTACGCCTAGCATTCACCCATTTATTTCTCCCGAAATTTGATAAGTTCGCTAAATCCGTATTTTTTTTTAACAAATACTGCTTTTTTTAAACTCGTAACGGGAAACATATATATGCGTCGGTGGCTTAGCGGTAGAATGTTCATCAACCACCCACGTGGTTCGGGGTTCGATCCCCAGCCAACGCACCCCTATACCCAGCTAAGCTGGTGATAAGACCGGTAAAGAGGGAGGGTTAGACATGAAGCTAGCAACCCCATCCCGTAAAAAGTAAACACCACTGCTACCGAAACTTCAGAGCTCTAGCTTGAAGCCCTACGTTCCACTCGGAGCGTTAAGGAGTGAAAAATATATACATTCATAGTGTGGTTACACACGATATCGGTAGTCATGTCATGTTTACTGATAAGGTCAATTTATTTACTTCTGAATTTGTTTTCATTCTTTTGGTTTCTGAGTGGAAAATAGGACTTCAAGCTTGAGGTTCTGAAGTTTCAGTAGTCGCGGTGTTTCTTTTACGGGATGTGTTGAATAGCTTCACACCCAACCTTCCCTCATCACCTGGTTTACTACCGGCTAAGCTAAGTTTATGAGTGCGTCGACTGGGAATGAAATTCAGATCACATGCGCGGTTGGCGAGCATTCTGCTAATGAAACATCGGTTGACTTGAAAAATAGAAGCACTGAACAGCCTTTTCATCCCGGTTTGGGATCCTTCAGAAGTATACACGCAAGACCCCGTTAGGAATCGAACCTGCTGCCTTCAGGTTACTATACCAAGCCCTTTGACCATTCAGCCACTTGGTGCTGAATAATGTGAGTGGAGAGATTTATCCTCATAAATATATATCCACCCAATAACTGACTGCCAGTTAGTGCAAAAACACCGTCAGGCTGAAGTCCCCGTACATTGTAACAGGTTGTTTATCAGTCTGGAAGTTCTTAAAGTAGCACATGGGAAATACTTTTAACTTTATGTTGAATAGAATATTATGGAAACGATTCCTGTTTTTATCTTTTCATGAAGGAAGTCTTTTCCCGCGTCCATGTTTACTTAGATTTTAAAATGCTTGAATAAAAATGATAATTCATAAGACTTTCAAAAGCTTTCAACAGTTTTCTTCTAATCATCTAAATTAGGTGTATTTATTTCTTATCATTGCGTCCATTCAGCATTGTTCTTATCCATTTATTCTCTTAAAAGGAATATAATTTCTCAGAAGGATTCGTTTCATATTATGATTGTTATTATTCCCTCAGGTTCCGAATGAAACATAAGGCTTCAACATCACATCTCCATTTCACCCGATTCTCTGCAGTCCTCTTCAGCTGGCTCTAGATTTGACAGCAAAGTCTCATCTCCTAACACGATCTCCTCCATGTCACCGTTGAACCCAAGCCCAACTTATCGTTTCCTATTTGGGTTTCACTTGACGGTCTCACGTGCCATGTCACTCTATGGCCATTTCAGCGTGTGTAGGATCCATCTCTATTTCCATCAACGTATTTAGTGATCAGTGGGTTCTTGGTTGGTTCATTGTAGGAGTTCCTTGTAACTATACCTTTCTGGCCATCTGATCTTCAGTACGGAGCGAAGGCGGCTGTTTATCAACGTATGCAGTAGCCTGTTGGGATTGTTTTCTGGCGACATGCCAAGCCCTTGAACCATAATGAAATAACAATCTTGTTCCATATTCTGAGAGAAGGTAGATCTCCACACTGATTTCACTCTAATGAAGGTCTATCTTACTTTTCCTATCTTAGCTTTGACCACTTCATCCCTGCCGCCTCTAGTTGAAAAGAAGCTACCTAGACAAGTGAAGGAAATGATGTCCTTTAAATTTCTCCCGTTGATAGTGACTGGTATTTATTGTTATCGTCGTCTGAGTATCTTCATCACCTCAGTCTTCTTCATGTTCACTTGAATTCCTGTCTTTTTCTGGCAACTTGTTTGGTTTTCGTCTATACACTTTTGATTTTGTGTGAAATTGAACTATAGTATTACAATGGCACCCCCATTTTGAGTAGGAAACAAATTAATATACAACATAACGGCGTATAATTCTGAACAGAAACAGTATATAAGAAATCTGCTATTGTTTAATACACTGAAATCTTCAGCCTTCGTATTTCCTGAAATCTATTCATGTAAACTGCCTTAAACCAATCATCCATTTTCGGCTTTGAGTTCTATAATTTCTACTAATCTACCCAGCTCACACCAGTATAAGAATGATGGTAGTAATAAACAATGCCTGGCAATTAGAACGATGTAACCAGTTAACTTATACATTTCTGTGCGTAAGACTAGTGCTTTAATGACAAAAAAACGCAAAATAACCCCATTAAATAAATTCTTAATTCACATGCCTTCTTCTTCTCAGACTGTCATTCATTTGAAAATGATGCAGTGAATGACTGTTTTATAAATAGTAAGCGGTATTCTTCTTCACATTGAGGAACAGTTGGTTATGACTTATTTCATCCTAAACAAAATTAACTACTGAATCAGTAAAAGTAGTTTAGATATGTTGATTGGTCTTGGAAATATATTTTAAACTGATAATGAAAACACTGATAGTAGCATAATAATATGGGAATTATAATAACTTATTTCAGAATTTTCAAGTGTTGGTTTGCACGAGTCTGATGGATTTTAAGCTTGTTCATGGACTTAATTCAGACAGAGAACTCTGAAAACCAGCAGGGAATACTGGATAGATGTTTCTTGCCACTTTGGGACACCTGGGCAGTGGACACCCACGGTCACTCCAGGGGTTGAACTCAGGACCTTCGTGCTGCAAGGCGAGCAACCTGAATGGCATATAATAGCTAATTAATTCTAACTTGTGCTAATTCACTATATGTAGTGTGAGCGCCAGCCAATGTTATCGGCAGTTAATCTGTCCTCACATCCAACTTGGTGGACACCGCTAGTCATGGCTTCTCCCAGAGCTTCAGGAGACTCCATCTTGTAGTCAGTCACTAGTGAGCACTGTAGGAGAAATTGGTTGATTTCAAAGGTGATATGTATATTCTTTTATTTTTCCGGATGGTTTACTTGAGAATTTACATGTTCTACACTTTCTTTTTCCTTTTATTTAATTTGTTTAGATAATACAAAAATCTCTGATTCTTGGACAAATGCTACAAACACATGGCCTGCATACAGTTCGTTGCCCAGTACTGTGAGTCACGTTTCATGATATTGTTAATAATGTGAAAAACAGCAACACTGTTGACATAAAACTGGCTACTCTCCTGGTGATAAGTGTTACCATTCCCATTAACTAATTCTTTTCAGATTGACATTCAAAGACTTAATTTTCTCATCAGTTTGTTTTATCCACAACTTATAAATGTATAATACAGAATAGTATACTGTAATAAATTTACAAATTTATTCTGTTGTAAAGTTTCGATAGTTTTTTCAAATTATTTGCTGCATTGGTGAGAACTGAAGAAATGAGACGAACTACGACGGCATGCGTTGAGGAGGCAATCGAATGACATCGCGCAACAGGCCATTGCTTGAGTGGAATCTCAATGGGAAGCGACGACTGGGTCGTCCTACAGTGACATGGAGGAGATGAGAGATTATGGACTGTCATTAATCCAGCTGGAGAGAACAATAGAAAGAAGAAGGAAGTGGAAGTGTGTTGTTGAAGCCCTATGTTTCACTTGGAACCCAAGGGAATAATAATATAAGAAGTAATGGTAAAACATACTAGGTGGACAGATTAGATGGAATAGTAATAATTAGTACTTCATCACTGCTCTAAAGCTTAAACAGCTAGAACAAAAATTGATAGGAAGTGCTTACTTAGCTCTCCTGATACATATGCAAAGAGGGCATAAAATTACTGGTTGTCAGGAGATGTGATTGATAAAGTATATCATTCATACATGCAGTATTTTTTTCAGTGTTCAGGAGACTCACCCCATGTTTCGGAAAATTCTAGCCAAGCTGTTTCATTAGTTTTAAAACACTATGAATGTTCTATATAGTGACACTGAAGATGATCTTATGCTCGAAATGCCTGCCAGGTGTTAATTCTCCATCTCTCTCTCTACTTCGGCTATCTCCTACGGAAGGATGAGCCGGCTTCATGAACATCTCGAATCATCGCCGCCCAGGCGCGGCGATCTGATGAAGAGAGTTCATGAAGTTTCATGGGAATTTGGCACGAGTGATGTCCCCAGAATCGCTCGGCCTTTTGTTTGAGAGTGCAGCTCTAGCCTTTACACAACCAAGTGTGAACTACAAGGCAGTAGGAGTGGAGTAGGGAGTCCACTATCCATTGGCAGCCGGTGACCGGAGTTCGGTTCATACGCCTTTTTGAATGGGGCCAGACATCCAACAAGCCCTTTGTCCATACGTCTGCCGGTGAGCTCCAGTGAGCTTCATACGCCAATCGTTGGAGGTTTGGAATCAGGGTTTAGCCATCTCCCCTAGACTGTCATCCAATGGACAGTCAACCCAGTGAAGAGCGCCGGGCATCCGCTTTCGCCCTCTCACTTTGGTGAAAAACACCTCCGCCACGTGAAGGCAGTGAGTAGGACTTCCTCAGGAGAGGCTATGTAAGACACCCGGTCATATGGGAGCATTTCAAGAGGTGTACGAAGGGTGGCCGACCCGTAGCGCAAGGCACCCACCCCCGACCATTCTGAGGCTTTTAATTCTCCATCACTGTGTGATATTTAGGATAAACTTATCTAATCTGGAACGATCTTATTTAGTTATTGAGTACTCTTAATTCATCTTGTCACCTTATATTGCAGGTAAAATTCATCTGTGAGTGATACATGATTTTTAGGATTATTAATTTACTAAAAGACAAGAATGTTCTCTAAATCACATCAAACTTTTTAATATCATCTGTTTATCATTACAGAAAACCAGGTCATCTGTGCCAACAACAAAGTGCACTTACGATTTTCCTACAAAAAGGCTCCTGCTTATGCGAGAATCCAAGGATCGACATCACAAAGGTGAGTAGTATCGTCATATAGTTCTTTTGATGAACACACATTCCATTTGTTTGTTGCGATAAGAGAGAAATCGTTTATATTTCAAAAGTTAGATATTTAATTATCATTGGGAAAAATGAAACAAACTAATTATGGTGATCATTTGCTTGATAAGTAAATTGGATTATTCACAGTATTATGCTTATGAACCGTAAGAAACAGTTTTAAAATGCAAGTGTTTGAACACATACTGTTTGACACAGGTCTTACCCAGAAGCATCCTTTTGGAGAAACTCAAGACTCTTTCGTAGATTCCAATTTGAACAAATATTCATGGGAGTACAGACAAGGTGACATCCTCTTGGTCTGATTCTCATTTGTTTTCTGATATCCTTTTCTGATAAGTTTCATTAAACATAAAATCTAAGTCATATATGCCGAATCATCAGTTAATTCCGGAAATCTGACGTAGTAGTCAGTATTACTTCATCCTACCTAACGAGCAGTTGACCAGTACGCTTTTTAACACTTCTGGACTGACCCACACCTTTTAGTTACAAACCTTAAGAAAGTTGTTGAGGCTAGGTATTAGGAGACGACTGCATAATCTTCGTTAAAGGACACTCAAGCAATTACCTCCTCTAGCTACCTAAGTACGAGTAATTTACTCAGTTATTTCATTATTTTTATTACCTCATTATTGTTTACTGGAAATAGTTATCCTATTTATCCCCATTTTTTAATCCACTAAAGTTTACTTATAATATAGTGCTTTACTAAAACAAGGAAGTTCTAGCATTTGTTTCTAATATCAAAATTTTTATGACATATTTGAACATAAGTTTCACATCATTTAAATAGATACTTGTTTTTTTTTTTAAACGGAGTTGTAAATTATTTCGTTGCTTAGCAACTTCTGTATGCAAAATAATCTGAGCTAATAAACTCTGGTACTTCTCAAATCAGTGGTGTTATACTTTTAAGTAATTTGCTAGCAGTCACCTTTTTCCCAGTGCAAATGAGTTTCTTTCTGATTACCAAAATGAATGGGTCTGTTTATGTAGTTTCTAAGATAAATGGGGAGAGAAAAACACTTTTCATATTTGGTTTTTATTTAGTCAGAAAGGAAGGAGAACAGCTTTCTACGGATCAGTGAATATAAATTACCGTAAAACAAATTGTCGTAGACACTTATTTTTCTGTTATCCGCGCATATATTCAATAATATTTTTCTGCAATAGTTTGATTTGTAACCTATTCAAAGTGGCAGTACTAATTTACTAGGCTTAATTGTTTGCAAGTTGTGGAGCTAAGCCATAGCCAATCAATTTACCGCCCTCTATTACATTTGGATCTGTCTGCTCTCGTTTTAAAATTACTTCTACTTTAGCTAACGTCTGATGCTAGTTTAAGTGGCTGGCCACCATTTGAAACATAACTATAACCTCTTCAACACATATACATAACATTGAAATTTTCAACTTTTAATCCCACAGTCTGCTTGCAACGTTAAACTGGTGGTCACAATATGACAAAAAGGACATTTTTGGTGAACAGTCTCGGAATCCTATAGACACACATATAATTTACTCTGTTTACCGTTGAAAACAAGTTTCTGATGAGTAAATAAGTTTTACAATAGTGCAGTATCAAGATCTAAACAGAATAGAATGTATTACCCGTTATTTCTCCTAACCCCAACACTAGCAATTATAATTACAATCATGATAATTAATATCATAAGGATGTACATTCCGTTTTTATTGATTTTTAATACACACCACAGTCTAATGTAATACTGAGCTGAATGCTTCTTATTACTTGTGTTCACAGAAACTGAACTGCTTCAATGTGTTCTACTACGTTCTTTTCGAACATAGTATTGTAAAGTGACAACAAATATTGCGAATTTATGGTAGATTTGTAACAACAGAAGACAAGGGCCAGGCAACAGATCGTTTATTAAGGAAAATCAACACATATTTATAGATTTTAATGTACATTATTGCAGATTATTGTTAGTAGAAAATACAGTCTTTTGATTGGTTGTTTCTCACAGAAAGTTAACCTTGCATCTCTTTGTGGCTGTGTCAGATCATCCATATGCTAACTGTACCCGCCTACGCAAAGCCTTTGTTCTCATTTTCTCACCACCCATATTGGGGACATAAACATTTACGTCAATTACTGTCTACCAACTTTGGCTAGTAGCCAGCTCTCACCACAGATTTCATACTTCTGTGGTGGGATGTTCGTCAGCCATGCAGGAGATCCGTGGTTTGATCCCCGGATGACACAGTCCTTGACCTCAGTTTACTGGCCGATAGTAAATATGGGAAAGAGGGTAGGCTGGGCATGAGACGCCACGACTACTGAAACTTCAGGGCTTCAAACCTATAGCCCTGTGTTCCACTCAGAATGCAAAGAAATGGCAAAAGAGTAGTTTTTGAAATTCCCGGGAATTTAATCTTGGAAAAGTTTTTGATAAAAAAGTATTTGTTAACCATTTCTAATATTTATTATTGATTATTTTGCTACAGGAGGTGGAATCGGTATGAGAATTGTTGGAGGACATATTCGATCAGATGGTAATTTAGGAGCATTTGTTGAAGAAATCTATCCCTCTGGACCAGCTGATCAACTTCACGGAGAGATAAAAGAAGGTAATTTTTCATGAAGCAAGACTTCTTCTGATTGAAAGCTACGTTCACGTATTTCTGCTGATTTTTTACTTTACTTTGAAATTAATATTCATAGGTTGACATAAATCTCAGCTCTGTGTGATGAAGACGGAATAATTTCATATGTTCGAAGTCACAGACGTCTTATTCGTAAGACTGTGGCCTGATAGGTAATTTGCTTGCCTGGAAAGATGATGCTATTGTGTTGTTTCACTGAAGTCCTAAAAATGAGACAAACTAATGTTCAATCCTCCTCATTGTCCAATAGTTCTTTAAGTGATTGAAGCATGTGTTAGTATTTAGTTCTACTACGGTAAAAGGTGCATCAGCTGCACAGCGGTAGAATGCTCGCCAATCACGCATGTCGTCCAGGAATCGATCCCTGGCCGACCCACTCCCAAACCTCGCTAAGCCAGTTATACGACTGGTAAAAAGATAAGGTTGGGCATATGGGGCTAGAAACCCCATCCCATAAAATGTAATCACCACTGCTACCGGAACTTCAAAGCTCTAGCTTGAAGTTCTATGTTCCACTAGGAACGTAAAGGAATAAAATAATAATAAATAAAATACACGGTAAAAGAATTCACCAGTTAAAAAATACTACTTATTTCTAAAAGAAATAACATATTTTGTTTTTGAAATTATAATTAAGGTAAATAATCGACTGACTTCTGACTTGAGGACAGATATTGAATAGGAAAAGAAAACAACACTAGCAGTGAACTCAAGATAACCTTCAAATAAAGGAACAAAAAAGGACAAACATCTCATGCATAATATAACAAAAATTAACCTCAATGACTATTTAGGGTGACACAGTGAAAGCAAAACAAACAAACAAACACGAAAACATGAAATTAATTTGAAAACTGCAGGTCATCTGTCCATCATTTCTCTCTTTTAATAAATATTATCTTCCTTATACTAATAATCTATAAATCAATTAGGGAAAATATGCTACAATTCAAGATGTTGAAAGCAGATTGAATAGCATAATAAATTGGAAAGGTATACATATGTACTTCACGCTGTTTTAATGCTACATGATAATGGAAACTACAAGCAACCGCTTTCAAATCCATCTTTTTCTTATTTTTCCGATAAGTATGACAATTTCGAGTGATCTTTCATAAATTTCCTCACTTGCAATACAATTTTGAATTATTTTGCTTTGGGATACTCTTACTGTTAAGTGTTTCACTGAAGTATTAATCGCCTAACTTCAGTTAAATCCTCCAAGCTTCTGCAAAAAAAGTTATTCATTGAATAAAAATATGTGGAACAAAAAAGAGTGAATACATTGTGAATGTAGGGCTGAAATCGTTTCTAATTTGATTCGAGGATGGAGTTACTTAGATGTGTGGGTAACTTGGTATATATTTTTCATTCCCCAGGACATAAACCAAACTTATTATGTGAGGGCCAGTGGCTCAATGGTCTACGAGCTCGCCTTGTAACCAGAAGGTCCTGGGTTCGAGTCCCGGTGGGTGCGTACTGCTGAAGAGTCCCAAACTAGGACGAAACAGCTGTCCAGTACTCCCAGGTTTTCCAGTGGTTCTCTAACTGATGTCAGCTCATGATGAAATCCTGTAACCAATCAATCAAATCCCTACCAAACCATTACTTGAAACAGATAGAGCAGGAATTAAACCAGAGATCAACTAGCCTAAAGTCGAGTGAACCAGGGTAGAGACACATTCTCCATTTAGTAGCTATTTACTAATGTTTGCATTTCAGCAACTGAGCTATCATAATATATAAGTTACGTCTTTGAAAAAATCCACGCACAGGTAAGGAGGTTTCTGAAATACGTCTTTTGGAACAAGTTTTGTTGTTTGAAAGATTATACACCAAATAGTTGTAAAATTGTTCCAACTTCAAAATTAATTGGTAATTACCACGAGTACTATCATTTAACATTTACGTGATTTCAAATAAAGTATCAATATTAAGTCAATGAAGCGCCTATTTAACCTTGACTAATTGTGTTTATGTTCCCTTCAAAGTTAAGTAATGTGAATTTGTCTTCTAAAGTCGACATCTGACTAATACTTAGGCTCTGTGTACTATCTAAATTATTACTTATTTCAGATCGCGCAATGGTGAGTGTTGATTCTTTGTTGGATGAAAAGAAGAAGATCCTGGACTGCCTTACACGTTTATTGTGCAGAATATTTTAAGAGAAATCTGTTAATACTTGTTACTTTCATTTTGGTTGTATTGAGCGAGTACTTCATCAATGTATTTAAACTAAGTTCATATCATAACAGTAGAAAAATGCTTTAAAATCCACTAGTAACATAGTAATTTATTTACGTCAACTGTTACTATTACTATTCTCACCCTGAACTGTCCCGGTATCATTTCACTTGTTCCACTTGTCATCCTAAATCAATTATGTTTAGCAACGTTAAATTCAATGTTTGATTGGATAGAGGATTTCATCATAAGCTGACATCAGTTAGAGAAGCATTGGAAAACTTGGGAGTACTGGACAGCTGTCTCGTCATCCTAGTTTTGGATTCTTCATCAGCACGCACCCACCTCCTGGTTACCAAGAGAGCTAGCTCGTAGACCAGTAAGCCACTGGGATCCGATCCAATGGCCAGCCCATGAATTCTAACTTCTGCCAATACATGACATAGCGTGACCACTTCACAATGTCCAGTGCTTCTCTGACTGATGTCAGCTTATGATGAAATCCGCCATCCAATCAAATAAAATCCCCACAGAACCAATACTTGAAAATTGTATGTTATCAATGTTTCGTGACGTTTTTATTAATTCGATATGCCTACTAACCTTATTATTCCACACCCCTTCCAAGTTCAATACATCCTGTTTTGCTACTTGACATTTAACTATGATTATAATCACAGACATTTTTATTGCATTTAATTGCATTCACACCTATAATTTATTTATGTTAAAATTATTTACTACTGATTGACTTAAGTAGTCAAAAAGTAATGACGTCAACCAGTATTATTTGCTAGACAAACCATGATGTTCTTAATAGCAGACTGTCGTTCTGCTCATTCGGGACCGAACTCATTAGCAGTGTATGTGCTTTATCTCACTTCAGTTAGTCAACTGAAATGCACTAAAATGTTCAAAGTTGAGTGATAAACAAAACGCTAAATCATCCACATCAATTTGACTAATAATTCCAAGGTTGAAACCTCAGATCATAGTGAGAATTTTTTAAACTTTCTTCTACTACAAAAAGTGCAGATTGTCAATATGAAGGACAGACAGACACTTGCATATATTTTCAACCCCTCCAGATGTAGGAGATTAAAAGTCTTATCAACTGATGCAAAGTCTACTCTCATGCTTTATTTCCAGTATAAGAGTTTATCATTCAGTTGTACCACATCAATATAAGCTTTCGTTTGACGACTGAATTATAAGATACTTAACGACTGCTTTGGTATTTTATTCTAAACTCTCATATTCCACCTTGTAGACAGCTTTTAAAATAAGTAAATCTTCACAAAGTTAACGTTCAAAGTAGAATGCGCTTTTTTCAATTAACCGAAATTTGAGTAGCGCGGTTAATTTGACTTCCAATGTCTACAAACAATGACCCTTTAATCATTTATTTTGACAGTATCATCATTAAGAAAAAGATGAGAATCACAGTGATGATGATAATAATAATAATAAACAGCACTTATTTTCTGTCAGTATCTTTTATGTAATTTGATATTTTAAATATGCTTTGGCATAATTACGAGCAAATGTGTTGTAGGCACACAAACAACAAGACGGTTTGTATGATTGAGACAACATAGACTAAGAGATAAACTTACTGAAGGAACATATATTCATATCTGTAACTTGTAAGTTACTACAATCTTTCCATAAGCATTTAAGCTGGTGATATTTCATCAGTCTGGAGATGGTTACCTCTATTTCATTATTTCTTTTATTCTTTCAAAACTGTTTAAGCTTACTGAAAATAACAGCCTGTCAAATTCAAGTGACAGGAATGTCTTTTGATAAATATGCTGGTATGTAGTCATTGTTAAATCATGATACAATTAACCTATTAATAGTTAGTTTAATCCGTCCACTTGTCTAGTATATCCTGTTCTAATTGTGAGTAGAATATCAGTACTGTTGAAATTATTTCTCATAAAATCACCTTGTGTTAACTTCATTTTATCATTCAACCGGTATGTTGAAGATGACTAAACGCAAAAAATTGTTTTTTCATTTCATTGCCGTTCTAGTTGGAGGATAGAGCGTCAAGCTTGAGCTTTGAAATTTCAGTGGCTTTATGGGGTAGGGTTGCCAGCTTCATGCCCAACCTTCTTACTAAACAGAGCTTACTACCGACCAAACGAGATTCAGGAGTGTCTCGGCCGGGAATCGAACCCCACACCACATGTGTAAATATATACTTGTTTAATCCAAAATACATTGATCAAAATAAATCAGTCAGTCATTCAAAGTAGTCGGTGAAGATTACTGCATATACATATAAGCAATTAATTCATGTTATACTCATATCGATTGTAGTAGCAGTCTTAAAGAGATGTTTTGGGGACTTCTGAAACAATTTTTCCTACCCATTGGTTAATACGCAAAGAAGTGTGTAACCTTCAAGGTAGTTGAAACAGGCTAATCAAGTAAAAACATGTTAGATGTAACAGTTTATAGTTACAATAACTAGTGGTTAGTTAGTTCAATGATTATCCATCATAACTGGGAGGACTTTCTGGTTCAGCACAACCGCTATTGCTCAGAATGATTTATCCTTTGGGTTTATGTTTTATTGCTAGTAAGACTGACACACTTGACTCAAACTCATCAGCCCTCAGTTCAATCAATCCAGAAATTTATTAAGAACTGAATTTCCAGAGATGAAAAATAGTTTTCTCCTTAAAGATTCAGAAAAAATAATTTGAAATCCATTGACTGAAGCAACCATTTCATGAAATAATTCACCAGTATATTTCATCTGAAATGAAAAAAAGCTTTTCTGAAGTTTGGAATGTAAATAAAACTGCAATCAACAGACTTATAGACATAGATAGACCTAATTCACAACTTGTTTAGAGATGAGAACAACTAAGCTTCATTCAACCAACTTAAAGGTTATATGTGTAAAAAGTTATTTTCTCCCACACAGTTATACAAAATGTAAATGAAAAGATATTATTATTGTTCCCTTGGGTTCCCAGTGGAACATAGGGCTTCAACTGCACGTCTCCACTTGCTTCTGTCTTCCGCTGTACTTCTCACCTGCGTCCCTGTTAGTCCATACTGTTTCAACTCTTCTTCACACTATCTCCTCCATGTCACCCTTGCACCGACGTCCCACTCGCCGCTTCCCTTTCGGGTTCCACTCGAGGGCCTGACGCACGATGTCACCCAGCGGCCTCCTCAGCAAGTGTTCAATCCATCTCCACTTTCTCCTGCATATTTGTTGGGCAATTGGGTCTTGTTTTGTTTGTTCCCATAGTTTCTTGTTGGTGACTCTTTCCGGCCATCTGATCTTGAGTATAGAACGAAGACAACTGTTGATAAAGGTCTGCAACAGGCTGTTGGAAATATTCTTGGTGACCCTCCAAGTTTCTGATCCGTATAGAAGAAGTGACTTGACGTTTGTATTGAAAATCCGAATTTTGTTGTTAATGCTGAGTGACGAAGATTTCCAGATTGGTTTCAGGTTGATGAATGTGTTTCTCGCCTTTCCAATTCTCAAATGAAAAGAAATAACGGCGCTTAACTATTCATGCAACTAATAAATATGCCCTACATCTTAACGGAGTTAATGCTGAAAATACCACAAAGCTTGGTTATAAAACGTCTACGATTAAATGCCAAATAGGTTCAGAGAACACCAAGCGACTTTTATCGTTATCCTTATTATTCCACTTCATGATTTGATTTTTTTCCTTCACGTTCCCCAGTGGAATATAGGGCTTCAAGCTAAGGGCTTGAAGTTTCTGTAGCAGTGTTGATTTTACAGGATAGGGTTGCTAACCTCGTGCCCGACCTTTCCTCTTTACCAGTATTATTTCTGACTCAGCGAGGTAAAGGAGTGAGTCGGCCGGAGATTGAACCCCGGACCATGTGCATGGTTGGCGAGCGTGCTAACCGCTATACCACCTACGCAAAACCTGGACTACTAGACAGCTGTTTCGTCTAGTTTAGTTCCTTCAATAGTGCGCAGCACCGAATTCGAAGACTTGGTTACAAGTGAATTGACCATGATTGATAGCAGAAAGTAACTATGACAAAAGTGTTTGATAGATAAAATCTTTCTAATATAGACAACTGTAAATTAAATGTTTGGAAAAACGCTGATATCAACTCTTGGTAAAACTTAAAATCAGTCAAATTACTACAAACCATCTCTTAGAAATAAACCTGATGCTCACTAGTCACTGATCAAAGGATGAAGTCGTCTGAAGTTCTAGTGGGAAGTCATGACCAGTGTAGTGCACTAAATCGGTTGTGGCGACAAGTACTCTCCGATGACATTGGCAGGAGATCGCGTTAAAATCAACAACTGATAGAGGTAAGAACTCACGGATCACTGAATTCAAGCCGATGTGGCTGAATGGTCAAAGAGCTTGCCCCTTTTAACCTAAAAATCCTGGGTTCGATCGCCTGTAGAGTTGTGGGTGCGTACCGATGAAGGGTCTCAGCCCAGGACGAAATGTCTGTCTAGTATTCCCCGGTTTTCAATGGTTCTCTAAATGATATCAATCCGTGGTAGAACTTGAAACAAGTCAAATCCCTACAAACTAACTCGTGAAAAAGCTGTACGTTTGTACAACACAAGGTAACATGGAATTATCCTGTCAGTGTAATTATTACTGGATAAATATTCATTTTTCTGGGGGAAATTCTTAGTTTTTCTTAAGTAATAGAGAATAAAGTGAGTTATTTAAATATAAATGCAAACATTTTTGATAAAAACTACCTACCTATTTAATTTCATTTTATTCCATTTGCATAAAGGTGATGAAATACTTGAATGGAATTCTATTCCTTTAGTTGGCAAAACATTTGAAGAAGTGCAAGCGATAATTAGCCAAGTATCTGAAGAAACAGAGCTGCTTGTCAGAGTGTAAGTGTATGTACTCGAATATCAAATCAATAATTCTATTCAACTTTGTCACTGAATGTTTTTTTTACTGGTTTACACAAAAGCCATTGACGAATCAAATGTAATGAAAATTATTCGTAACAGCAGCCTTGTACAGTACTACAAATACGATCTGGAATTTATTGTGTCACAGCGAACAAGTAAAGGGTATTTCACTATAAAGATGTGCAAGTCACACATACTAGAATTCTTTGAACAGTAATATTTCATATATACTTTTTCATAAAATAATCAATTAGATTCTGTGAACTGTGAGTAACTCTACAAAACTGTTGGTAAGACTCTCGGATGTGACCTTCGGACTGCCAGACTACTGTTGATGATTAAAGGCAAAATAAAAACCTTGTTCGTGCAAAAATGTCGACCTGCAGCTTCAGGATTTCTAACTCCGAGATGGATAAGATGTGGTTTTTATTGTATAGATACTATTTCAAACTTGAATAACTATTTCATATGTTTTACAACATTTATTACTAGGAATTAAAATTTGAAAACTATGTTCATTTGCAGTCTGTATAGAAAGCTGAATAACATTCGAGAAGTGATAGATTTATTTATAGGCACAGGTTTGCGAAACAAACCTGAAGGTCTCTCAGTTATTTTTATGAGAAATAACTTTATCAGAAGATAGTTTCATAATGAATTAAAATCGCTAATGTAGTAGGATACACAAAAGCAAACATATTAATGTACACAGAATGACAAGTTCTGGAGTGAATTTGATTCTGGATTTCTGAAGGCATATGTAAACACAAAAAGCATAATCGCCTAGAACCCCACTATTATTGTTGGTCATCGTACTAACAGACAACGTTTTCAGAGTACAGTAAACATCTCTACATTCTCAATAATGACATATCCATTGATTGATCACTGGTTTTCAGGAGAACCGACCAAATCTATCTCTGCCTCTTGCAAGACGAGACCAGCATGCAGTATCATACTGTGGCACAACCACTCAAGAGCCCTCTCCCTCGGTGGGTGTGGCGATAAGAGCATAGGCACTGATCGATGTCAAGAAACGTACCCTAAATCATTGGTGACAACTTCTTAATTTGATAGGGCGAGCGCCAATCATAAGCGTCACAAACAGGCCTCCTGACCTTGACATTCTGTTCACTATCCCATTATATTAGGATAAGTAGTTTATTGCAAAAATGTTTCTGTATTACTCTTAACTTGCCGTCTCAGTTGATTCCCATCTGTTATTGTTAGTTATAATAATAAATCACTACAGAGTTGAAAACGATTCATTGTTGCCATTTGACTGCAGGTGTCGGTGGTACAGCGGTTAGGACGCTCGCCAACCATTCATATGGTCGGGGATTCGATCCCCGGCCGGCGCACTCCTTTACCTCGCTAAGCCAGTAATAAGACTGGTAAAGAGGAAAGGTTGGGCATGAGGCTAGCAACCCTATCCTGTAAAAATAAACACTGCTACAGAAACTTCAGGCCTCTAGCTTGAAGCCCTATGTTCCAGTGGGGAACGTGAAGGAATAAGAAAAAATTTGACTGTAAAAGTGAAAGCCATCGTTTAAATACCCTGCCCAGGGTGATAAATTTATCATTCTCTCTAATAAGCACTACTGAAAATAAATAGCTTACAATTAAAGTCGAAGAGTAAATTCTAAGCCTTTCAGGAGCAAAACTCAGCTATATATCTTTACACGTAAACCCTCTTAGTATAGATTGAAAAATGTATTAAACTGAAAGAAAATCTGACCGAAAAACTAAATGAAAAGGGTATAATTTAGCCAGAAACAAAAGAAACTATTCTTTTATCTCTCTGTTTTTTACAAAGACAAAAATAATTTAAGAGACAGCAAATAAACTGATCTGCCACAGAACCCTGATATTCAATATAAACGACCTCATTACAAATGAGATTCTCTTGTATAGATGACCTAAACCTACTTAAACCTAAAATTTATGAAGAAAAAAAACATAGAAAGAAATATGCATACTCAAAAGAAAATCACCTCAATAAAAGTGTCATTCACTTTTCAGGAGAGAAAAAAATATATGAATTTAGAGTAGCAGAATGAAGAAGAACAAACAAGCAAACAAACAGTATATCCCAGTGGGAGGGAAGGGGAGAGGGTAAAGAAAGCTATTCATTCCAATGACTTTAAAATATCATCTAGAAATTTCTTTTTTTACCATTTTTAATAATTGCAATTACGAGTGTTCTTAATTTGACAGACTATTTTAGGTATGTACATGGTGCGGACATTGCATGTCCCCACACAGACTTTTTCTTTTGGCGCAAGGAGATTCATCGTGCTGAAGTTTCTGTAGCAGCTTTGTTTGCAGGGGGGAGTTGCTAGCCTCACGTCTGAGAAGGGGGATTGTTACATTAAATTATAATTTAGAGAGAAGCGACCTTGTGGGCTGCTCCCCTTAAAACCAGGAAAACAGGGAATAAACAAGCAGAACAACACGAGCACGGGAAAATAATTCACAACAAGAAGGGGAACAAGCGACAACAACAATAATAATATCACAGTCAATTACAGTTAACCAAAATGATACCAAAATCATAGACTCACTGACTTGAGCCAACTTGAACATGTAAATCCATCAATATATATACAGTTATAGGTATTAGTTAGTGTTAAACAAGCACAGAGTGGCAAATAGATAGTTATAGGTATAATTGATATACAATATTATATCCAAAGATTCATTGTTTCAAGGCAAATAATTGTAATAGTTTTTTGCAACTTTTTGACAAGATATTCCACAAAAGTCAGAGTCTTAGGTAACTATGCAAATGAAGCGCAGTAATCGAAAACTTGGAGGATCTGGACTTCGCCGATGATATATGTCTGATTTCCCACAAACTGCAAGATATGCAAGCGAAAAGCAACAAGTTGGCAGAAGAAGCATCAAAGATAGGAGAGACTTCAGGTGAACATAGAGAAAACAGAGGTGATGAAGATTCCTGGGCAACACCACCAACAGCAACAACAACAACTGACAACAATCAGCATAAATGGGAGGAAACTGAAAGAAACAACCTCTTTTACCTACCTACCTCGGAAGCATCGTTTTAACTACATGCGGACGGGACTGACGAGGATATCAAAGCAAGAATCGGAAAAGCAAGACAAGCTTTCACTACTCTCAAGTCTGTGTGGACGTCAACAGCACTCAGCATCAAAAATAAGATCCGGATTTTCAACTCCAATGTGAAGTCAGTGCTACTATACGGATCAGAAACTTGCACTGCGCGTCATAAAGAGCATCTCAAACAAACTACAGACCTTCATTGACAGTTGTCTTCGCTCAATACTCAAGATCAGATGGCTGGCCAGAAAAGATCAGCAACAGAGATCTCTGGGAGCGAACCAACCAAGAACCGATTGTGAAACAAATAGGCAGGAAGAAATGGAGATGGATTGGCTGGCCATACTCTGAGGAAACCACCAAGTGACATCACTAGACAAGCCATTACCCGAGTGGAACCCGAAAGGGAAGCGGCGAGTTGGTCGTCAGTGCGAGGGTGACTTGGAGGAGGTCATGTGAAGAGGAGGTGAAAACGTGTGGGCAGACATGGAGCCAGGTGAAGACTCTAGCAGAGAACCGAATTCAATGGAGACGCACGGCTGAAGCCTTATGTTTTTCTAGGAATTAAAGGATACAATAATAATACAAATAATAATAATTTTAGGTATGTAGGTCTGTGCGTGTAGAGAGGAGAGTTTGATAGTGTTTGCATATCTGCATTTAATCAGTAACAAAAGTTTCATGTAATTCCCTTTTCCTCTCATATTTATATAATTTCTTATTAGCAGGGATTATGCACAGGGCGACGACGAAGAAGGTGAAGATGACGGAGAAGACATGGAAGAAGATGAAGAAGAAGAGGAGGATGAAGAATACGATGAAGAATATATTGACGATGATGAAGAACAACAGGATGATGAAGATACACAGTCTTTGGTGCGAAATTGTGGTTCAGGGTCGAATAGAAATAGTGGACAAGGCAGTCGACCACGTAAGTGGTTGTGTGTATCCACATAGATAGTGACGGTGATTCTTATTAATCCATGTTAAAATTACTTAGGCCTTCTTATGTACAGCCTCGCCTGGTTTACTAGTTACTAGTTGTTCCTAGGTCTGGACAAAGAGGGAATGTTGGGTGTGGGGCTAGCGACTGTGCCCCAAAAAATCAATCTAGTCGTTACACAAACTTCAAACCAAGGAAAATTTATAAAATAAACCCATTCTTCGCTTGAACCAGGGAGATGAAATGACTCCAGCTGGTGAAAGTTTTCAGGAAGCCAGTCAGTAACTCCGAAGGATGCACATTATAAGCCTGTTTTCGTGATAAGCAATGAACTTCACTAAATGATTAAATGTGTCATTTAACGAAATGTTATGACGGATGAAAAAAGAAGTCAACGTGTGACTGTTTTTACAGCAAATTCATAGTAGTCAGTACTACTGATAAGAAGCATTTCATATTTAATTGTGAAGCATGTCTTAAAACAAGGGTCATGAAGAACTACATAAGTAAATTCTCAAAGTAGTGGTTCCGTAAACAGCGTGAAAATAACATGTCTAAGAATCGTTTGTTACTTAAAAATGATCAAATAATACCGACATATGCGGAAAACTTTATTATAGAACTCCGTTTAAGTGGTTTTCATGGGAAAGTGATCATCTAAATGGCTCCACAAGCTTGCCAAGGCAATTCTCTGTTCTTTTCAAGTAGTTGCAGTACTGTTTTAGAAAGTCTATTCACCTCGATTATCACTTCAATTTTGCATTAATCAAAGATAATATAAAAATACAGCATGAAAGTTCCAAGTGAAAAGTGTTTTTTTAAAACAAAATTTGATGCTAGACGTCTGTTATCTTATAATTTAAGTATACATTATGTAGCATCGATGGTTCGGTGGTAGAATACTCGTCAACCGTGTATGTGGTCCTGGGTTCGACCCCCGGCTGACGCACTCCTAAGCCCCGCTAAGCCGGTAATAAAACCGGTAAACAGGGAAGGTTGAGCATGAGGCTAGCAACCTTACCCCGTATAATCAACGTCATTGCCATCGAAACTTCAAAGCCCTAGATTGAATACCTATGTTCCATTGGGAACGCAAAGGAATAAGACAATACATTACATAATCAGAAAGCAACGTTATTATTAGATGAATACTGAAACTGAAATTTATCCATATTCCCACCCATCGCACTTCTCTGGTTCTTTAGTAAGTCTGTGTGTTACATCATATAGTCTGTAAAGAAGAAATGGTCTGCTCGAGGTTATAAAATCGTCTAAAGAAATCTTCCTGCTTATATCTATTAATCTGTTTCATTTAAGTTGCTAGATTACGGTCAGATGACGCCTACTGTTTCGTCAATTATTACTATCCTAACTTTTGAAAGCGGGAAATATTCCCACTCCACTGATGAAACATTTAAAACTTTACTAATAAACAGGTTCAGATTCAACGGTCTAACAAAAAAGCATTCACAATGATAACTGGAGTTTTGAGTTTACTTCTGTCAAACGAAAGATTAGCTAGGACTTCTGTTGGTTGATAAGATTTGAAAATTAGATTTTGTAATGGTCTAAGATTAGCTAAGCAACTATTGGAAATAACATTCAGTCCTATAAGAATACCAGAAGAATGTGAGTTGCTTTCTGGGTGATCACAGCACGTAATTTTCATACAGTCTCAAAGTAGAAGCAAGATGGTTTTCAGCTATCTATACTTCTTGGTATTTGTAACATATTTCCATACACAATTACATTTTTTCTTGAACAAATCAATTAATTGTTTGTCTTTTAATGGGGAACAACACTACTTTTGGAAGGGTGAGGTAATGTAACTTTGACTGACAGTTACAAGTTTGATAATAGTTAATTTTAGTAGAATATGTTTTACAATACAATTTAATGTGTTGACGCCCATAATCTTTACACTTGCTTATCTGACCGTATTTTCCCAAAGTCAGTATTTACAAATCTCAATGAACCAATGAGATACTTTATAAATATGTCAATCATTCTACTTCACCACTGGAGATATGAACTACATAAGTAAAGTCATCTTTAATACTCTAATACTTTTCTTTTACCTGAAGAACGTTTTTTTAAGAATATTTTTAATTGTTGCGGAAGTTTTGCTTCTACCGCACACAAATATGTTTATCTATTAATTAGTTCATGTCAAAAATTTCTTATCTCATCTAAATAAGGATGAAAATAATGCATTTTTCATTTGAACATCTATATCAACTGGGGCGTTTGCTTGGTGATTGAATGACTGCTGAAGAGACTTCTTAATATTTTGGGGATTTCTGGTACTAAATTATGTTATTATTCCCTTAAGTTCTGAGTGGAAGATAAGGCTTCAACAGCACATCTGCATTTCATACGGTTCTCTGAAGTTCTCTTTAGATGGCTCCACTTCTGTCTATAAACTTTCATCTACTCGTCACACTATTGCCTCCACAGACTATCACCTTAGGACCCATGCCAAACTGGTCGTTTACTGTTCTCGTTCTACTCATGGGCTTGAGGCACAACCTCACTTAATGGTCTCGTCAGTGTGTGTCCGATCCATTCCAATTTCCTTCTCCATACTTACTGGGAGGTAGGCTCTTGGTTGGTTCGTTATCACAGTTCCTTATTACTAATCCTGGTGACGGTCCTCAACAAATATATCGGTGGGTCTGTTGGAATTCGATTTAAGTAGATTTAAAATTAGCCGAAGAACTTTGAGTAATAACGTTGAGCCGGTTAGTTGAACTTTCTATAATATGTGTGCCACCTGAAAATCTACCATAAAATGTTAAATTAGTTGATGTGAGAAGATTTTTATATCCCATAACACCATTTATATTAAGAATTATTAACTTTACTCAAAAGCTGTATGGTTTATTTAACTGTTGTTCTCAAAACTTTGTAAACAAATAATTACAGACATTTTTGAACACCTAGTTGAATTATTAGTGTGAATTCTAATGAAACTTACTTGTTGTAGAAGGAAGTCAGCTACAAGTTAGATACAATTGTAACTAGTCACTCAGCTCAGATAATCGAATCAGTTCAAACCACTTAAATACCGAAGCATACTATTTTTTGAACATTGGACTGAAGTCTGTAGCCCTAAGTTTCATATGTCAGTAATTTTGGTCAGTATTTTGCTCAAACTCCTTACTGACATTAATTCGCAGCATAGCTCTACTGTTCGAACACCAATTACTTCCTCATAACGGCTCCAAATTAAAAATTACTTGAGTTTCCTACTAGTCGGAGATAAATATTCTTAAGTTTTAATGAGGATCTGTAACTGATGAAGCTGTGTTTCATTTAACCAGAAGTATAAAAATACTCACAAGTGGATTTCAGGCTAGTGTCTTAGTGATGTCTCTGACCCGAATCTCATATAGGTGATCCGTATGTCCTGTTGAGGTGTCTCAAACTAGAACAGCCAAGTACTCCTTCCTTTTTGTTTACGACACACGTAAGTATGTATGAGTAAGGAGTGATGAGTTCATTTCCGTTTGACTTATCTGTGACTTCAGTTTTCTAGTAAATTCTCATAATTTGCTTCATGAATTGGCAGAATTTAAAATTGATGGACTGCCCATTGGATCGGGTCCCAGTAGCTTAATGGTCTACGAGCTCGCTAGCCTTGTAACCAGAAGGTCCTGGGTTTGAACCCTTGCGGCGGGTGTGTACTGTGAAGAGTCGCAAACTAGGACGAAACAGCTGTCCAGCACTCCCAGGTTTTCCAATTATTCTCTAACTGATGCCAGCTCATGATGAAATCCTCCAGTCATTCTCCTAGACCGATTCTACTGTAAGAAGATGAATAATTCAAATAGAAACTGCTACGAGAACTTTGTCACTATTTATTTAAATCGTCTTTTTTTGTAGTTTTGATTTGAACCTATATTTCTATTGAAAATACGTTTGTTGATGTGAATTTAATTTCATGAATTATTATTATTATCACTTGAATTTATCAGATGCATTATGTCACCATCACGCAGCACAGCATGCTTTAATGAATCAGGCCAAAGGACCTATCTGTCCCCATATGCATCAACACTATTTGTCAATTCCATCAGGAGATCGTACATCTACAAGTCAAATTACCCATGAATCGCATAAACTGCAACTGCCCAGTGTGCGTGATTCGACAGTAGAACAAAGTGGTGAAGTAAGAAGATTGTCATCTGGCAAAACTCAAATCCCCTGGTTTGAATCGAATTCTCCCATTAAGGCTGCTGGTCGACCATCACCTTCATCTATACAAGATTCGAGAGGTTTGAAGAAATCTATTGCTGCCGATGGCATTGAAATGAATAGTATTAAACAGTCATCTAAAGCAGCTCATTTAGATGGGCCGCGTGGAAGCCATTCAGTAAGTTAGAAGAAAAACACTATAGTTTTCATTACAATTTGGTTTGCTTGTGAATAGTCTTCTGAAGACAAATCCAGCAAGTAATACTTTTTTTCTATAAATTTATGATTTACTCAGTTTATCTCAGTGTTTACGATTTCCGACCTCAAGCATTACTACGGTATATAGCTGAACTACTTGGCGAAAGTGTTTTGGTGAGATAATCAATGACACAACAGAAGAAATGATGCTATTTTCTGAAGGAAAGGATAGATATATACATATTAAACGTAAAGTTTCTTATCGCCTATCTTCATCTGTTCGAAATCAGATGAATTTACAATTACTTCAAAAGAAATAGCCTCAAAAGCTCTTACTTATGTTTTCAATTAAATAATAAATTACATCCATACGATTTACTATAGTATATTTCAAATAGGAATGAATTGTGAAAATAATGAAATATGTGCTCAGTGGACAGTGTTTAAATCTTCTGTAATCTTTTATTTTGGCATCTCGTGAAATTTATTATTATTGCTGTATTATTCATCTTTCGGGTTCCAAGTGGAACAAAGGCCCTCAACAACTCCATTTCATCCTGTTCACTCTAATCCTCTTTAGTTAGCTAAACGATTGTCCATAGGGTCTTATCTACTCCTGACACGATCTCATCAACGTCAACCAAACCTGTTGTTTCCTATCCGGGTTCCACTCGACGGCCATTTGCGTGGTGTTACTCAACTGTCTCCTTGGAGTGTGTTCAACCCATTTCCACTTGCTTCTTCATACATTCTGGGCAATAGACTCTTGGTTGGTTCGTTCACAGAGTTCCTCTTTTCTTCTTCTAGGCCGCTAATCTTATCTTCAGTATGGATCAAAAACAGATGCTAGTAGGAGTCCAAAGCCTTTTGGGAATACTTTTCGTGATCACCAATTTTCTGAATTATATGTAAGAATTGACTTGACATTAATGTTGAAAATCCGAATATTATTCTTTATTCTGCGCGCAGTAGATTTTGAAAATGATTTCAGAGTAATGAAGACCTGTCTTGCTTTTCTGATCCTCACTGGCTTTGACATCCTCATCCGTTCCACCTGTAGTTAAGACGATGCTCCCTGAATAAGTGAAATTTCTTTCAAATTTCTCCCTTTGATGAAACAATTCATCCCTGTAGAAACCATATTCAACTTATTCACGCATTTAATTTTGATTTTGCAATTATATAGGAGTGTACTGCTTTTCAGGTGATCTTAAAGAAACTCTATATTCAAAAAATGACGACATATTTCCTAGACTTCGGAAAGCTCTTCATATCTGCCATAATGCAGTAATTCCAGTAGTATTTCTTACATCTCGAACCTGAAACATTTGTTTGACTTTCCTTAATTATTGAATTTTATAGCTCTCTTCGGGCTTTTCAGACATCAGAATAAGGTGGTTTTAGCAAAGAGGTCTGTACTTAGGTGCTTACTTAGGTAGATTCAAGATGTTTTCTTATAAAGTATCAAGCTTTAATTCACCTTCAAAATGTGAGCTACTACGATATGTCAACTCTAATAGATTTGCTGTAAACCAAATTCTGATACCTTTGACATTCGCATCTTATGCAGAATTACAAAAGTAACCATTGGGAACAAAACTATAAAGTTTGGAAATTACTGTGATTCAATTTGGTTTGGTTAATGTGGTACGTTCTCATAGTTCTCCTAACATGCACCATAACTGTTTTCCATGACATAATTACCTATTAGTATAGCATTTATTCATAAATCTATGGATAATTTTCGATAGGATCCAAAATATTGTTTACATCTGATGCCTGTGGCTAAATGACTCTCAGACGATCAACCTTTTACCTCATATTCGTCTAAGAAAGCTAAAGTCTCCACTTTAGCGTTCACAGACTTTTCGTCCATTTAAGTTATTACATAACTTAAAGGTGTTTTAAAAGTTTGCTATATATCTGGTTAAATTGTCAACTGTTGTACTAACTACTGTCATTGTTGTATTTCATTCAAACAGTCACATAATGATAAAGAAGAAGAAGACCCAAATGAATACGGTGAGATTGAAGTAAGTATTTTACTTTTAGCACTTTTAAATCAAACTGTTCACAGTAATATTTTCAAGTAAAGTGAGACGTGTTCATGTGTGTATTGTTATCTGCATAACAACTAAGTTGAAATATAATGGGTGTAAATTCCTATTTCTATTGTTGGAAAATAGTTTGTAAGATGCTAGTTAACTCTGTAATAAAACGTTTTAATATCATATTGAAGTCAAAATACTGATTTCCAGATAGCACATTCTATTCTTTTTCTGTCTTACTTTCGGGTATGATACATTAATCTACTACTTGTTGTATTTGGGTTGTACAGAACACATTTCACACTAACGTGTCAATTCAACAAATTTGCTGTTGCTTTCTAGCTATTTCACATCATTCCTAGTTAGTTGACGAAGACAAAGCAAGGGAATTTGTGAATTTAAATCTAAATGGGATTCAATGAGTAAAATGAAATTATGTAATAGTGAATATTTGTGTCACAAATCAGTCATTTTAAAATCGGCTGACAAATCTGTGTATAGTCTTGATAAACAAAAGGTAGAAGTTCACTTTAAACGTATAAAACCTTCAAACATTTATCAAATCAATATAAAGACAAGAACCCAAGGCATTTCAAATAACTCCTGATAGTTTCTGTTAGACAGATGAAATACACTACTTGTGTTTAAAACATGAAGATGAATGATACAGTTTCAGATTAACAAATGGGATTTCAGTGAAGTAATGACTTTTATGAAGAAAAATGTTTAGATTTCCTTCAGCGTATGCTTGTAAATCAAGTATGTACCTTTTTGAATACACGAGAGATATTTGTCGACATTTAAAGTCTTGAAAGTTTTCCACTGTAAAACTTAGAATTCAAAGTGAAGTATTCGGTTCCTAAGTCTACATTTTTAGGGGAAAAAATATGTTTAAATCTTTGAAAAATCCAATTCAGACATTTGGAGAGTATTCACTAAAACTTTACTTTTGGGTTAACAGTCAATTAAAATGTAACTCTGATGTAGGTCTATGAATTAATCACAAATAAATGCATGAAATACCTTGATTGGACACTAGTAACTAGTTTGATGTATCTAGTCCTTTCTTTGGTGCAGACTGAATTCTGTCAGTCAGGTTAGCAATGTGGCCATCATTCTAGGTAGCTTGCCATCACATGAGTCCACATGAGGGACATGAGTTCCTTCAAGGTTGCAGATACGCCTTGCTGACTGTGAGTGACAACCAGCATGAAACCTAGGTCCAAAGCCTCCTACCGATTGCCTCCAACCATCTAATATTATCAAATACATTCAACGGTACCGAAATCGTATCCATAAAACTAAAACACTTCCGAAACTCTAAAACATTGTTAGATCGAAAATCACATGACGAAAGCTCTTTTTAAAGTCCAACTCGATAATAATAGTTAAGTAATATAAATTACCAAAATAGAACAAATTAATACAGCGGTTACAAACAACTGAGGCTAAATTTACGAAAACAGACTAATTGAAAGGACAAGTTCGATGAAGCATCAACATACTATGTGATTTAGCGACAAACTCAGAATAAACACTTACAAAGCTTTATCAAATTACAATCACTGATGCTTATCACTATCCTTTCTTCCGTTTCAAAGATTAATTGATTTTTTTTAACTAAGTCATTTCATCATACACAATAAGATTTTAAAGGATTAACAATTCTCCACAGTCACTTAGTTTTGTCTAGAACTGACAGTGAATGTCAAAAAAGAATATTGACTTAGGTAGTGAAGTGTTTAAATCAGTCAAAATAGCATAAAAACAAAATATTCACTCAGAGACTTAATATAGGAGGATTTCAAGGCCTCACATTAAGGCTACTGGACTTAAGCTACAATCGATAAGGCTCAAATGGTTAAATAATACAATCTAGTTGAATAAATATAGTCTGTAACTTGGTTTTTTCTCTAAGAAATAAGTTCTTTTTCGCATGTTTTTACTAAGATGATAGCAAGGAGTTGCTGACAGCTTTCTATTGCATTTCTGAAAACTGGGGAAGAAGGCGTTGGTACATTTAGTTCTTTTTAGTTTCTCACTTCTGAAAATCTCACTAACTCTTCCGAGTTCAAAGGGGAGCATAGGGCTCCAGTCGGTAAAGTTTCAGTAGCTGTGATGGTACTTTTTAACGGATGGGGTTGCTGTCTTCACTCTGAACTTCCTCTTTTCTGGGTTTATTACCAACTAAGTGGAGGAATTGAACCCGAACCATGTGGGTGGCTAACAAGCATTCGACTACTGAATCATTGACGCAAATTATATTACATATTATATTATGTCGTCTACAAAATAGCTTTCCTACTTCTTCTAGTTCATTTTCTGAGTTGATACGAAATTTAGTACGTACAAACTTTGAAACTTGTGCAATTTTCCCCCCGTACATTTCCTTCTTTTTACTACAAAAAAGAAACAAACGTACTATTGGCAGTGATTTATTGACTCCAATGTCGACTAATTCATTATTAATGCTATGATTTTTCAGAGTTACTCAAAACTAAACTAATAATTATATTGTAAATGAACAAATTATAAAATGATTAGGAAAGACAAGTTGAAGTTGGGAGAGACAGACAGAGAGGGGGTTACAGAAGGATAGGAAGTAAAATTGCACTAGTATATCCCTACCACAGAGAATTTTACTGTTTATTCAAGTGGAAAGGAGTTTTTTTTGGACTTAATTTCCAGTAAATAAAGAATTAGGCCTGTGTTATTTTCTTCCGGTCAGTCAGTTATGGTGCTTGATTTTTCTTTTCTTGAATCCAATGCTTATCACACTCACGATTTATACATATGAAATTCTACAGATTAGAAATGAATAAGAATCATTTAAGTAATGATAAGAGGAAAATAACTTTGTTAGGATAGTAAGAGATATCCTACCTTATTTAGGTGATGTTAATCTGCTCGAAATGTGATGTATATATTATAATATGCATATATCAGTTTCAGAGAAGATAGTATCTCAATATGAACTGACCTAATGAAAGCATATTTCCCTGCATTATGTAATTACCATCGGAATGAAATTTTGTAAATTGGTAATTAGGTCAGGATAAAATGGAGGTATAATGAAATTTACCAAATAGTTGAATATAATTTTACACAGAAAGAGTGAATTCGAAAATTACTCACTACAAGTTAAGACATTTTATTGACTGAAGAACTGATCAGCTTAAATCGCTGTCTAACCAAATTAAATATACTTATGACGCAGCTGTTCACAAAATGCAAACTGCAAATGTATTTAGCAATAGAAAGGATGATTCTAAAGCTTTTTTTCAGTTTCTTTGATCAAGCATATGTAGCTATTTTCAAGTGTTCATTTGCAGGGATTTGAGTGATTTCAAGCTCAATCACGAACTGAATTCAGTTAGAAAATCACTGAAAACCAGGGAGTGCTGGACAGCTGTTTTGTCTTTGTTCGACACTCTTCAACAGTAGGCACCTACGACACCATCGAGGATCGAACACTAGACATGTAGGTTACAAGGCAAGCTCATAGACTATTCAGCCACTGGGACAGAATACAATGACCCATGAATTTGAACTTCTGCCTGTTCGTGACAAACAGGGAGACCACCACAAAATGTCATAGGTATCTGTCGTCACACTCTTGGATTCCGTTCCAGTGGCTGAGTGATCAACAAGCTCGCCTCATAACCTGAAGGTCCTGAGTTCTATCCCTAGTGGGATCATGAGTGCCTACTGTTGAAGTCCTAAACTGGGATAAAACAGCTTTCCTCGGGTTTTCTGGCTGTAGTTAGTTTGTGATTAAACATGAAATCCTTCAGATCCCTGAAAACCAATACTAGAAATATTTATCTAGTCTTCGCCAGTCACTGGCTACACAATGAAGTTATCTGAAGTTCCAGTGGAAAGTCGTGACCAGCGAGGTTCATCAAGTTGAGTATGAGGACAATTACTTGCCAATGACACTGGCTGGAGGTGGCACTATATATCACGAATTAGCAGGAGTTAGAAGCAGTTAGCCATTGGATTCTGTCCTGGCGTCTGAATGATCAGCATGTATTGAATAATACATGAAATAACACTGCTCAACATTTGTTTTCCCCCTCCGTAGCCAACAGCAGTATTTTTAATGAACAGGCGAAATCGGTTTACTGAGCAATGTAGATCTATATACAAGTATCCAAGCTGTCCGTCAGTCAAATTTTACTAATTACACTATTTCCTTCAATCAGAGAAAATCCCAATACTAACAGTGTTAAGAACCATAAGATTCATAGTAATTTCGTTTTGTTTTTACTTCACGTTCCCCAGTGGAACATAGGGCTTCAAGCTAGTGGCTTGAAGTTTCTATAGCAGTGTTTATTTTACAGGGTGGGGTTGCTAGCCTCATGCCCAACCTTTCCTCTTTACCAACATTATTTCTGGCTCAGCGAGGTAAAGGAGTGCGTCGGCCGGTGATCGAACCCCGGACCATGTGTATGGTCGGCGAGCGTCCTAACCGCTATACCACCGACGCCTAGTTTCATAGTAATGCATTCTATTTAATTTATAGACTACTAAAATCTGATCACGAACTAGATTTTTTTATTTATGTTTATATTTGACCTGTAGCTCATCCTAACTTTTGATGATTATGATCAAAGTTTGACTGTACACGTTGCACGTGCACGTAATCTTCCATCAATGGATTTAAATGGTTTAGCTGATCCATTTGTGAAAGTTCGCCTACATCCAGATCCAACAGAAGAGTAAGAAATTTTTAGTTATTTTTCTATTCTACTTCATTCATTTACTACCATTTAGTTAGAGGAGCATTTAATGTTTTGAACTAAAGTATACCTCAGCTGAAATTAGTTATCAGCGTAGAATTTTGAACAGAAAGTGTATCAGTTCAGTTTGTGACACGAAAGTAAAGGAAAATAAAGGAAGCGTACTACTACTATATTTACTATCAGAGATAAACATCATCAGCTTGAGAATAAAATTGTTTTGGACAGGTTTTTGTAATTAGTTATTCGGTTTCAAGTTTGAACTTTATATCCAGAGCTTTCAATAATGTTCATTTCACATTCTGTGATAATGTATAGATAGTCGTATATGCAACAGAAGGTAGTTACCGTAACACCCTTAGCAAAAGTGAACTATTCGCACGCCGTATATATTTCACTATGTGTTTAATATGATCTGTTAACGCTGTTGAGAAGGTTGATACCAATTTTTACATTCCAATGCTAATATGGACTGTAACTGACCATCTGTCAGATGGAATTTTTATCCACTGAGCGACTGATATAACTAGCATCTTAAAGACAGTGAAACGGTTACCTAAATAACATCCCCAACTAATTTTATGCTTCCCGTCTTTAGTTAACTGCCGGCAAAAGTTTACGATTTAATCTTCCTTTACTTTAATGTTGAGTTAGTCAGATTAGTGACTCTATCTTAACTTACTGTTTATAGATCTTGACTGCACAGAAGAACCTGACTAAACATGCACTGCTAAACGAAGAAACAAATAGTTATGTGAAATTAATAATCCCCATTGAGACATAAAAACAAAGAATTCCGCGAATAAAATTCTCTTTTCGACGATTTCATTTTCATAGCCGTACAATTATATATATATATATATATGAATTACAATAGACAATAACAATCAGTTTTCTTGTGTGGGGATAATGCATCGACACCAACAAAGCCATCAAGGTTATATGCTGAATTCCAAATTCGTTATCACATACAGGTCGATTACGTCTCCTACACATAGCTGAAGCTGATGTAATAAGATCGACTAGATCGGAGCTCTGTATCCAAAAAGAATACTTCCAGACGCTGTTCCTACAGTGGCCAAACTTGGATTAGTGATTCTTCTTCTCACCAAGAGTGCCTCTTCCCTTAACCCTCTTGTTTTCTTTTGTGTTTGTTTTTCTTTGCTTATTATTACAATTATTATTACTCGACATAATTCACACCCTTCGTTCGAATATTCTCACAATACTATCGAATTTCCCATTTATCATTTGTGACTCATAATCCCATACACCAATATTATTATAGCACTTTAGTATTTCCACTCACTGTCAAACTTTGACACACGGTATATAACCTTGATACCTTTGTTGGCGTCAATGCGGTGTCCGGTATCGAGCTTCTTATGCACTTAATTCCCCTCTTTCATAAGAAGCTCGATCCTCTTACACTCAGTGTCAAACTTTGACACACTCACACACAAGAAAACTGATTGTTATTGTCAGTTGGAATTCATATATATATACATATAGTTGTACGGCTATGAAAATAAAATCGTCGAAAAGAGAATTTTATTCGCCGATATAGTTATGTGAAGTACCAAACGTTGACTACACTTCTTAGACTTCGAAAGTGATTTGACCTTCATAACGAAACATATTAAAACTCGAAAACACAACTTCAATTATTTGATTGTGAGCTGTTAAATGTCTGGTGTAACAGACCATAGCTTCTTTTCCGTTAACTTTAAAGCCATTTCAGATGGTTATACTGCAGTTCACATTCAGTCCGTGTATTGAAATTAGCCAACACAATGATTATAGTTCATATACATATTTACAAACTATTCTGTCTGTTTTGTACAGATAATCTGAGTTGCTCTTAGTTAAGCAATCTTACCTTGAAACAATCCATTTTTGAAGGTGAAACTCGAAACCGATCAGCAGCTGGTTTTCATACCTTCCTCGGTAGAGTGTTTAGTCCGCAGTAGTGGGCAACAGGTTTAAATCCTTTCCCTACCAATGAATTTCATTTCAACTTTAATCACCATCCTGTTAAGGTTTTCTTCATTTAGACATAGATTAATGCTCTTTATATACTGTGAATTTTGTCAATGCTTAAATAATTTTACATCGACAATCTACTCTCATTTCTAGTCCTGATTTCAATCGTCAAACAAAATATATGCCAAATACCTTAACACCAGAATGGCAACAAACTGTAGTATTTATGAATTGTATAAAACGTACCCTGAAACGACGTGTACTTGAAGTGACTGTATGGGATTTCGACAGATTGAAAACAAATGATTTTATGGGACAAACAATTATTAATCTCGGTGGTAAGTATACTGTCTATATTATTATGCATGAATGCCTCCTAGTCAGTTCGTGTGAATTTAGATATTGTCAGTGATTAGGGGTGATATTAAAAGGAATCACTTTTTTCTCATTGTGTAATTATCAGTATATATATATATATTCACGAGAGAAAACCATTTTTGTTTATCTGATAGACTGAGTGTTTTCTTTTTATATCTAATGGAATGCCAAAATAATTGAAATTGGTGGAAAGAAAAACAAGAAAGAGTCTCTTAAACAATTATTCCTATGCAAGTTGTATAACTTTCTGATGAGGATACAGAACGACAGTCGATGAAAGTGGAAAAATGGCAAAGAAATGAATAAAAAGGAATAGTATCATAAGACATTGAATAAGTAAATCTTTTTTAGATGAAGGTTATAAAAGTATTCAGGACTGCCTCTGTGGATAATATCTAGATTATTGATATAAGGATAAAACTTGGGCACTGTGGTAGAGTATAACTCCATTATGGATAAAATTTTATTTTGATAAAGTCACACAGTGTTATACAGTAATATATTTACTGATGACCACGTTTCGAGGACAATTTATTGCCACTGATAATCATATCAAGGTACTCACATAACTTTTTTGCTTCGTTTATATACATGAGTGAAAAATGATTAGACATTTGAATAAAATCAGTATAAGAGTGGAAGATAAATTACATTCAGAAATAATATTAGTGTTATCAATAAAATACAATAAGATGTTTGTATAGTAAAAACAAGTAACTTGTTAGAATGCTATAATGTGAATTGAAATACATTTTAACATTATTTATTATCCTCTGATTTGACTGGCGGTAATAATATCTTCCATATCTCTAGTATTTGCATTGAGTTACTTCTATTGCGTGTGTTCGGTGTATACTCGATGAACCAGGATTCAGTAATCAATCTCTCTCTCTCCCCACCTACCTATATTACTCTTTAGAATTTTGACTCTGTCCCACCCTATTGTGTGGTTGTATGTTAATGCATGTAGTGCGATTACTGAGTTTTTTTCTAAATTACTTATCTTCGCGGGTGAGATCAGTCATTCTAACCTTAGCTAAATTCTTACAGTGTTCTGATTATCTCACTACTCCTGATCTACTAGTTTGACCTTTGTAATTGACCTAACTCACAGTTATTGCAAGGTATTTTGTAAATTATATTATTTTGTTAAATTAGGTCCACCGACAGGGTCCTTTAGCCTCCAGGGCTTGTCTCTGAGTGAGTCTGAAGGTTTGAATGGCATCCTAATTCCCGCTTTATTAAGAATCCTATGTAGTGAGAGTCTCAGATGTCCCCTCCTTATATGGTAAAACTGTAGATGCCTTATATTCTTCCTTATTTATGTTATCATTATTCAAATGTCTAATCAATTTTCACTCATGTATATAAACGAAGCAAGAAAGTTATGTGAGTACATTGATATGATTACGAGCAATAAATTGTGCTCGGAACGTTCATCAGTAAATATTACTGCATAACACTGTGTAACTTAATCAAAATAAAATTTTATTATAATAGAATATCTAGATTAGCATTAAACACTGCGCTCAAAAAAAATTCAAACTGAAAAGATTAAGGATGGTTACTGCAGTATCGGAATAGTTTGTAGGTAAAGAATAATTTTCACCTCCATTGAAGTAGACATACTGTAATATTGTTCAACGATCACAAAAAGGCAGTAATTAATGCCTAAATATCTAAAAACCTCATCTCTTCTACATTTTTAATAACTAGGCAATTTTGTATTCAACATACGGCTAAACTCTTCAAATGCATTTGAATAGTTGTGTTCAGATTCGAATTAATTTTATATAACCTAGTTCATGTCGAACATTGGCAGTCTTAAATTAGTATTAGAATGAAGTCAGAGTGATGGTTACACTTTCCCTTCCACAGATATTCCTATTGTGATTGTACATAGAATTTAGATAATACTGTAAAGAATTGGACCATTCAATATTCGTTTCTCTAAGATACTTCTCTTCTTTTTCCTGTAGGTTTATTGCAAAGTTATTAGCCTTTGAAAAGAAGTTAAGATCACATACATACCAATTTCTGTTGAAAAATATTCGTCCTAGCAATCTACTTCTTAGGGTATTATCCAGACACTACTGTTTAGTTTCACAAGGACACATGCCAGTAGTTTTCAGAAGACTTCTCGTGTTTTCTTGTTTTCTAGTTAACTTTGTGAAGCCAGTATATACTCTTCGTGAGTTAGTGATAAATCAACAATCTAGCAGACTGCTCGGTAATTCTGTCCTAATAGAATTTCAACAGTTTCACTTGAATGAAGATAGAGTAACTCACAAAATTAAAAGAATTTTTCTGTTACATTACTACTTATAATTATACTCGTTACATTTAACAAGCACTTCACAGATGTATTTTACCCCTCTTCCGCCCCCCACCTCTTTTTTCATAGATAAAGAATACCTTGACGGTAAACCTCACTGGTTTAGTCTGCATAAATTAATGCCAGTTGTCATACCGACTTCTAAAAAGTCAGTGTCTTCGTCAAAAACATCATCTGATAGTTCAAGGCAAGCTAAGGTAGGTGATAAACAGCCATGATTATTTAGAAATTTGTTACATGCAACTAATTTTTTTTTGTAATTTGACAGTTTTTTTCTAACTTGAATGTGGTAAAATGAAGAAAATAATAAAAAAGGAGTAATGTTCTTTTTTCTCTGAAATAGATATTAAAACATAATATGGTAATTTCGCATTATCACTACAGGAATTTCATTTTATCACTAAGTATGAAGTAAGGGACAGACTTGCTAAACTTTTATTTCCTCTGGTAAAACGTCGTTTGTCTGAATGAATGTTTGCTAACCTAACAGGTGATGTTCAAACATTGTACAACCGTTAGAGCTGTATGCGTTCACGTACATGTCATACTGCGTAGCGCCTATCCCTGTATTATTCGGTGCTCAGCAGCTCAGCATAATTAGCATAAAATCTCACACTTTAGATGACAACAATAACCGAAGAGTAGTAACAAGCAGAAAATATATTAATCAAAGCAGTTCCTGGAATTCCTATTTAACTCAACATATTAACAAAAAAATTGGCAGTAATCTTGTTCCAGCCTCTTAATTTGGTGATTTAAATCTAATGCAAATAAATACAAAGCCTGAAAAATCGTCTGATATTCTTTGCACAACTACTGAGGAGGTACACTGAAGCGGAATAAGATTTTCTTACTACGAAATGAACTCAAAGTAAATACAAAGTTGTTATCATAATGGTTTTCATTGTATAAGATTAAATTTTATATATTGCTTAAATATATGATATCTTCACTATCTGACTAGCTATTCGAATTTTAGGATGAAAATTAAAATTAATGTATTCAACGCTTATATTAATATCGCCAAGTCTATAAGACATAAAGAAATGTTTTTGTTAGTCTGCAGAACCCAGTGATCCTGACTTTGTTTATTAGTGCATTTTTTGGCCTTCACAATATGAAGGGATAAGATTTTATAGATTTCAAATAGGAGGGTTACAAAGACGTTTTCGGTTAGTTTCAAAAATTGTTCTTGTGGTTGATAAAGCATATTTCTAATATTTTCTGGTGAATTTAGTCATGAAGATGTATCTTAGAAAGATAAACGGTAAGTAATCACTATGAGGCTACTAAACTATACATCATCCGTCTGAACTTCATGGAATAAAGAAGACAAGTTGATGAGGACTCTGTGTTACACTGATTTTTGGAAATAACGCTTCGAATGGAAGCACATTAAAATGAACTATACTTAGCAGGCTTAGATGCAGTTTTTCTTAGACATTTCATTTTCTACCACAGTATTTTCAAAGTTTGAAAGGTACATAGTACAGTGAAAATTCTAAGTTACTTATTTAGGTATGGAAGAATTTAATTACTGTACATTATGAGATTCCAAAATACTAATAGCTAACTATTCCCTTGATGGGTATAAATTTGACAGTAAATGCAGATGAAATAATTAACTATACGTTGACCTTATGCTACCCATTTCGGTTATCAGGTAACAAATTAAGCTGACCTAGATCTCACTGGTTCCCTACACTCTTCCATTTCCAAATCTATTCAGCAACAACGCTTAACTTTACAATAACTTTATTTCTAACTTTGGAAGGTGGTGTTGGAATGACTTTAGTTGTCTGGAAACAAAGGAAGTAAAATTGTGCCGGAAATAATCAACCAATATGATAGAGTATAATTATTAATACAAATACTCGTCAATGGCAATGACCGGCAATCGCGCTATAAATGGCTATTTGCCAAGAGTCAGAATTGATAGACGATTGGATTCCGTCCCTGTGGCTAAATATTAAACGAGCTCACCTTGTAACCTGAAGGTCCTGGGTTCGATTCCCAATGTGGCTATGGGTACGTACCGTTGGAGAGTCTCAAGCTAGGACGAAATAATTTTCCAATACTCCCTGGTTTTCAGTGGTTCTCCAATTGATGTCAATTCATCATCTAACTTGAAACCGACCAAATCCCTGTAAACCAACACTTGAATATTATAAAGATTTCAAATAAGAAGAGGATGAAACATGAAGGAATCATAACAAGGACAGGAATACCCACTGGATGTATTCATTCACCTTAGACTTTTGGAAAACGCAGAAAACACATGAAAATTAAATAATAATTATCACTAGTTTTAATAGTGAATTATTTCCAAGGCGGTCGTACAAGATGAAAGCTTATTGTCTCTTAGATTTGATTCAAGGAGCCACGATACACTAAGTCGTTTAATTTAACAACATAATTGTTGAAGAATAAGTATCTGACATTTCAAGGTCATAGCTACTTTAGCAAGAGACTTCCGGTCCTTGCTTCATGCACATACTTATTGTTGAAGCTTAAATGAATTATCAACTAACTAGTGTATGGTAAATAGCCCTTGATCACTGTGCTGTTTATCAGATAAACATATCTGACTAACAGTTAAACTCTACCTCATTGCCTTAGTTTTCCCCTTACACCTATCTGTGATTAGGTAGAAATGATCATAAAATTATTTAATTCAAAGAACTGCAGCGTATACTTTTAGTGTTTTGTGCTTTGTAAGCTAAAAGCTCATTTTGCATAAATTTTTGCAAAGAAAGTTCAGTTCATATTAATCAGTTTTTTCACGTTTTATCTGAAATTAGCCCTGAAGTGTCGCCATGACACTCGTGCCATCTACTGTGTGAATACGCATAAATTTGTTTTCTACAAAATGAGTAAAATAATCCAAATAAAACAGAACTGAGCCCTAGGAAACCTACAATTATTTACATTTTGAAACACCTCCCTAATCCATATAGTCTCACTAAACAAAATAATGTCAAACAGACGAATTACATGAATAATTGTGTTTTGAAATATTCTGACAATCCATTACCGAAAATTCTCAGTCAGTGTACATTTATTTATGTATTTAAATTAAAGTGAAGTACCTCTTTGTAGGATTCGGTTTCGACTTAACGCTCAGTGGATCTGTCTGTTCCGATATTAAATAAATAAACTGAGTAATGATAATGTAATGTACAGAGGTTTGAAAGCACCTTTTTTCACAACTCAGAGTTAAATTTGTTCGTCTGTAATTCAGCGGTGAGATGCTGTCCAACCACCCATGCGGTCCAGGGTTCGATCCCGGCCAGCGCACTCTCAAGCCTCACTTAGCCATTGCTAAACACAGAAAAAAGGAAAGGTTGGGCATGAGACGAGCAGCCTCACCCTGGGAAAACAAAACCACTGCTACTGAAACCTCAAAGCTGAAGACTTGGAGCCGTATATTCCACTCGGAATGTAAAGGGACAAAACAAATAATAGTAATGATAAATACAGAGTGACACTTAGTCATTTAACACCTATTTAGTCTTTATCAGTCAACACTGTGTGTTACATTTTCTTGATATCTTATTATCCAGAATTTCCCTGACCTTGATTTGTACAATAGTAATAATAACATAGAGCATAAGGTATGTTACCTTAAGTACAATTTCAGTCGCTTAACTTATACACAGCATGTGGTAATTTTCACTATGGAGCATATTGTACTGATAAAGTACTTATTCCACAACTTTGATAAAATCTGTTTTATAAAACATAAATTAATAGCAAAGTAGCATTAATTATTAGTAGTTCAAAAGATTATTGAATATAATATTTTGACAAATAATATTTGCATAACAGGAAGTCATTTTTTTCTAATAATCGAGATCAGTGTTAATCGTCTATTTTGAACAGATTGCTGGATGTCAGCCAAAGTAATTTGCCTACTCTTAAATGTTGGTTAAAACCCATCTATCAGATGTACAATGTGATCACCTAACCAACTGATCATAATTTAATGCCATCAGGAATGTTTCGACTAGAACACTGCAATAAGTGTACATAAACTGTTACTATAAGTAGTTCGCTTGATTGCAGACAAACACTCGTAAATAATTTGGTCTCAGTGAGACCGTTTGATTTATTATCTAAGAATGACAAACGCATTTAAATTACGCGCCAAAACTTCCTTTAGTGAATTCAAACAGTCTAATAACAACCAGCGGAACAGTTGTCCCCTTCATTCAGATTTGCATTCAAACGATTCCTGGCATATACCACTGGATCCACAAAACTCTCTAAAAGATCATTCAGCAAATGACAGTCTTTTTGTACACTACAAAGCGTGCATTAAACATTCTCATTAATTGTCAGTAATAACACTGAATTGCAAGTAATTTCAGTGGGATCACATGGAATTGAAAGAAATGAATTTCCAGTCAGTACATTAGAAATTAGTGTCTGAATAGTAAGTTCTGGAATCAGTCCTAGTGTGGAGGATGTTTTCATTTTGTCGGGAACAAATCCCTAACACTTACTCAACTTTATTTGTTGGCAACTGATTCCCTGTGCGCTTCCAATTTATTGTTGTATCCCACTACCACAAATGATTCTCTTGTGTAGGTTGGAAGTTTAATAAGTTGAACCTAAAGAAATAGACCTAGATTCCATGCTGTCTTGGTCTTCTGTATGTTTTGGAGTCCTCTGATGTGCATCTTATAGTGTAATGTTATCCAGAGTTTAACTATTTGATTGGACACTAGTAACTAGTGTGACGTGTCTAGTCCTTTCTTTGGTGCGGACTGAATTCTGTCAATCAGGTTTGCAGTGTGGCCACCATTCTAGGTAGCTCGCCATCATGGTGCACATTGATTTGATGATTTAGGTAGTTGGAGACACGCAGATACACCTTGCTGACGAGTGCCAACTAGCATGAAACATAGGTCCAAGGCTACCTGTACCCAATTGCCTCCAACTATCTAATATCATCGAATCAATGTGTAGAGTTTAACTATGTTAGCACAGGGCGACAGGTCAGCTTACTTTGAAGTATCTATCCTTTTTAAACTCATAATTTTCAAATTAATTTGCAATTAACGCGTTTCGAGATCTTTTTTAATGTGTAATGCATCTCTAGAACTTGTCGAAAACTGATACATTTTAATTTCCAGTGAATTAGTTCCAAGAATCAATTTCAAACTATAACTTACTGACTTTCTTTGATCAACTATCTGAAATCCCCGAAAGTTGTACAGCCACTCAACACTTATTGATTTCTAACAGCTGCTCTTACTTTACCCCACTTAATGTTCTTCAATCAAATGTATAAGAAATCTAAACCTGTTACCACCAATTTCAATGCTTAACTGTTATTCTTTAGTGTACTGGGTGATTATGACAACCTCTCATCCAAAAGGTAAAAGTTGCTACATGTATAACAACCAAAACCCATGTATTTTAGTATGATCGTAGAAACCCAGTCAACGAAATCAAGTCGTTGCGGTTCATACGATTTACTGTGTTCTTCTGTATAGTTTAGTAAACTCTGATGTATCACGCACTGTGGTACTATTAAATCCCAATAGGTTATGTCAAAAAAACACAAAAATGCCTGAACAGTGGCATTAGACAGCCATACATTCCAAGGGTTTTCTGAAGTACAAAGTGAGTACTATACATCAAGGATAATTAACGTAACAAAACTGAGTCACATACTTGACAATCAACAAGAATGTTAAAAACAAAAAGGGGTTAAAGTTATGTCCACAAGAATCAGATAGAACAAAACATGTTTCCAGAAGACACTCCGACTGCAAGGGGCCACTTCCTGATGCAACGTTGAGTTCACTCAGATAAAATATCGACAATAATAAATGCAACACGTTACTGTCAACACTCCAGTGTCCCACGATAGAGAAAGAAGCGAAACATTAATAATAAGAATCAGTCAAAAACAGACGAACAACAAGGACTGAGTCAAAAGAAAATGTACAAATGTTAGAATGATGATAGACGAGTCAGGGGCAATGGATAATAATTAAGAAATTACATAAAATACTCAAATAAATATCAAAATTGTAAACAGATTGTTCAGCAGGGATTTTCAGACTAATCTCTCTCTTAAAACATGCGAATAAAATCTTCAAGGTATCCAGGCACATGAATATCTCTAAAAGGCAGTAACTAGAAATCCATCCAAATAGGTCTGTTAGCCGAAATGTATAAACCATTTCAATCAGGAAAAATAAAAAGTAAATAAATTATTTGCATCTAAAGTTCTTTCCCAGTGTATTCGCCGTATATCGCATACAAAGGAAAACTCTTAATATAGCTACTTTGTGTAAAAAACGTGTTATAGAGCCTACTGGTAATTACATTTATTTGTTTACTCTTATATCAACAATTCCAATCTGTCGTAACTATAACAATGAATTATCAATATTATAATATATGTATGTACGTATATAACAAGAGAATGTGAGAAAAAAGAAATGTATTCACGAAAATATTAAGGAATTGTGCCATTCATTAAATATTCTTATATTTATGCAAATGCAAAATTAAAACTAGAGAATCGAATATTTCTTTTATTTCCAGTTCAAACATTTTTGAATATTTAGCATTTATCATTATTATTACTACCTTAGTTTCTGAGTGGTACACATACCTTCAGCAACACACCTCGATTTCGCTCTGTTTTCTGCAGTCTTTTTAGCTGGCTCCATGACTACGCATAAACTTTCATTTCGTACTCACATGATTTGCTTCATGTCACCGTCAGACGCCAAACTCGTCGTTTTCTATTCAGGTTTCACTTGAGCTATGGCCTGGCGTGCGATGTCACTCAACAGTCTCCCTAGAGTGTGTCCGATCTATTTCTCTCGGCATGTTTGTTAGACGATTGGTTCCTTGTTGGTTTGCTATCAGTGCTCCTTTGTTGCTTATGCTTTCCGCTTGATTGAGCAAAGGCAGTTATTGATGGAAGTCTACAGTAGCTGTTGGAAATGTTTTCTGTGACGCTGGCGCCAAGTTTCTGAACAATATAGAAGTGACTTGACGTTAAGGTTTAAAATTTGAATCTTGTTCTTTATGCTAAATGCAGCAGATTTTCACACTGATTTTGCATTAGTGAACGTACAAGTAGTAGTATAAGCAGTCATGATAAGCATAGTGTGGAGGCAAGTCGCGATAATTTCGCTAATATATCACATTCAACCCTACTGTATCATGATTTTGTTTCCTATTCCTTGGAACAAAAACCTATTTACTATAAAAACGAATACTATTTACTAAAGGATTTCACTTTGTTTTTAGGTTAGTTTGCATTTCCCCTGCGATTATATTGAACCAAAATACTCAGCCTCTGTTGACATGGTGTCTTCTGCTATGGACGCCTTGACAATGTCTCAGAATTAACATTAAGTTATTTTGTTTGACGGTGATTAATAGTGGAATCCGGGTGCTCATTTTATCCTATATGGGACTGGTAGGCCTTATGTACCTGCATTCCCAATAAGTGATGGCATTCCCACTAAGACTCAAACCCAACAACCATTTGTCGAACGCCAAAGCATTATCCACTACACAGGTAGTAGCTGTCGGGGTCCCCACGATGGATAATGCTCTGGCATTTCAAACGATGGATGCAGGGTCGGAGTCTCAGTGAGAACACCACCTTTCACTTTGGGATACAGGTACACCTAGGTAAGGAATCCCAAGTGGGATGAAGTTAGCGTCATGGATCCCACTGCTAGTCACTATCAACCAAAGAGACTAGACACTTTGCAGCCAAGTACCTTTTCCGGAAATGTAAAACTGTAGAAATTACTGTTGAAGATGTAAATAAGCTTTATGAGAAATCTTCTACGTTTAAATGCCAAAGCTCGGTTAACGCTGAATAACATCCAGTCTCATCTTGATCAACAAATTTTCTCTATTAATGTGGGAAAAGTCATACTAGTGTTTCACACAACGAAAACTCTTGGTTTCAATGTCTATACTAGAAAAAATATATGTACATCAATTCGTTTTAGACTTCCGTGTCTATTTTAATAATAAAATAACAAACTCCTTTACTCTGAATAATTTTGTTTGTGTCACTCTTTAGGCTAATAAATCTCAGTCTTCACTTACAGATTTGCCAGCGAAAAACGTCAACTTAAAACAACTATGATGCATACTCAGATTTTGTTTGGTCCTATCTTGGAGTGTTTGTTAGCTAAAAATGCATACTAGATTAATACGTTTGTTTAATGTTGTTTTTTTTTTCAAATAAAAGAATGAAGGTAAACTGAGGGTGTCTCCATGGATTAGAACGTCAGCAGTAACGTGATTCAACTCAACACTAATTCAGCTTTGTTTACTTGGTGAGAGCATTTCTACCGTGATACAATATGAGCAAACCAAATATTTATTCATGACATAAAACGAAGACCTTTTTCTGCATTAAATATAATAAGCACCAACAAATGCAGATTCAAGTGTTGGTTTGTAGGGATTTGATTGGTTACAGGATTTCATCATGAGCTGACATTGGTTAAAGAACCAATCAAATCCCTACAAACCAACACTTGAATATCGATGAGATGCTCACTAGCGACTTGCCCTATTCAGGTAGGTAGTTACCTGAGGTTCCAGTGAGAAGTCGTGACCAGTAGAGTGCAGCAGGTCGGGTGTGAGGACAAATACTCGCCGAAGACATTGGCTAGTGGTCGCGCTATGTCGTGAATTGGCAGAAGTTAGAATTCATGGGCCATTGGCCTAATGCTTTGCGAGCTCGCCTTGTAACCAGAAGATCCCGGGTTCGAACCCCGGTGGGTGCATACTGACGAAGAGTCCCAAACAAGGACAAAACAGCTGTCCAGTACTTCCAGGTTTTCCAATGGTTCTCTAACCAATGTCAGCTCATGATGAAAATGCAGATTCATTATGTTTGTCATAGTTTAAAATGATCTTTACTTGCTATATAATAAAATGCCTTATATATTCATACATACACGTTCTCTCTTTGTTTTGCCCTTGTTTTAATAGATTAAATTCAATCACAAAGAATGAATGCGTACAGTTCAAACTATATTTTCAAACACAAAATGGTGCATATATATACATCCACTGATTTTGCATATTTCTTTATAACTTTAATTAGTAAACAAATTATCTGCTTATTATCCCAAAACAAAAACTGAAAACTACTTCTAAAAACCAGATTATATCTTACAAAACTATATATACATATACATATATATGCACATATATTTATATATATATATATATCAGCCTATGACGTAACGCATACGTGATGTATGTACCTCTTCTAAGTGTAACTGTTACAGTCATTCTTTCATCTTCTTTCTTTCTTCTAAACCAATATATACATATTCTATTATTTCTTTTACAACATACTTCTTTATATCTTTACTAGTTAGTTATCCTACTAATGTTATTCAATCACTTCTCATTGTTGGTAAAATAGACGACAGATTGAATTTGCTACGCTTCACTTCACTTATATACTTTTGTTGTATCTTAGCTACCATAAATTATTTTTAACAATTCTTGCTATCTCTTCTAACTGGAAGGGGTTTTTCTCCCCCCCCCCCCAGTTTTCTGTCTGAATGCTTCATTTTCAACTGGTGATTTATACTTCAATATTTACTTTATGCACTATATATATATATATATACAATAAAAACCCAGATTTTATTTAACTAACTGGTATTATGATGAAATGCCGACTATATGTATCTTATCCTGACCAAACCCAACAAAAGGGATGCTTCGTATTATGTATATATATAAAAGAATACTGCCCAATGCATACATGTAAAACTAAAACAGTATATATTCTTATATTATCATGTATATTTTAAGCTTTCTACTTCTTCTCCTATTCACCTTCCCCAATATCCTTTTCCATCTTTTATAAACGAATTTTGAAGAGGATGATCGCCTGAAATAATAAAAAAGATATATTTTACGCATAAAATAATCATTTTTTTAAAATGTTTGTTGGGCATCGGAGAGTGACATCGAGGAGATTGTATGAGGAAGGGATGAAAGCATATTGGCAGCCATGGAGCCAGCTAAAAAAAAACTTCAGAAAACAGGATGAAATGAAGATGTGCTGTTGAAACCCTATGTTCCACCCGGAACCCAAGGGAATAATAATAGTAATAAAGGAATTAGCAATTGATACTGACACCTGGCTGATTATCAAACCTCCACGACTTTTCTGTATCTTTTGCTTTGCGATTAGGAAGTAAGCACTCTAACTGAATAGAAAGTGTATGGAATATAGTTGAGTGAAGTGAGTGTATCTAATCGATGACTTCTTTGCACAAAACTGAACAGCTATCATTAGTAATAGTACTAGAGGTTGTCAAATAGCCTAAATTTCAAGTTTTTGAATGTTCTTGATCAAGATAAAAGATATTTTCAAGTGTTATTTTGTAGGGATTTGATCAGTTTAAAGTTTTTCAACGAAATGATATTAGTTGGAGAACCGTTGAAAACTAAGGAGTACTGGACAGCTTTTCCTCCTTTCTGAAACTCTTCATCAGGACGCATATTTATGGAAGTTAGAATTCATGGGCCATTAGATTCCGTCCTAGCATCTGGATGATCGACGAAACCGCCTTGCAACCGGAACATCCTGAGTTCGATTCTCGGTGGGATCATGAGTCCGCACCGATGAGGAGTCCTAAAACGGACAAAACAGCTGTCCATTCATCCCTGGTTTTCAACGATCCTCTGACTGATATCAGTCCCTAGTCAGACTTGAACCCAATAGAATGATTACCTTTGGTAGCAGATAATTTCGTCATAATCATGAAACGAAACATTATACAATTTTACATTATAAAGCATTTTGCAACGTGAATTAACAATTACAAAAACACCAAGAGCTCTCTTTAAAGGCAAAAGGAAAATAGGAGGGATTTTAGTGACAGATAATGAAATGTTGAAAAGGTAGAATTAGGACTATAATCACAAGTAAGAGAATGAATTCACCTACTTCGAATTCAACCGAATTTGGAATTCGCTGATACACAAGACTAACTTTCAAAACACTTAGCCTTAAAGCAACAGTAAGAAAACTTTGAGTTTCTGGGAATTTCATAGAGAGCTCGGTAGCGGAACAAAATATCAGAACAAGAATCCAAGTTAATGAGAGAATATTACAAGAAATACTGTTAACGAGTTATAGAAATTAATGGTCACTTGATGATGTGATTAAAGTCCGCTGCTACAAATTATGATTACAATCTACATAAGTGTTCAGTGCTGGGGTCATATCTACTAATAGAAGCTGTAAGCCGGTTGTAGAATAGTCTTTAGATGAGAGGTTCCTGCAAATTCTAAAAGATGCATCACGGTTAGTAGCGAAACAGGTAGATAGTATGAACCAGTTAGAAGACGAAACGACGAGAAGCAAGCTATATCTTAGATTGCACTCCAAAGTTATGTATATTTTACAATGAGTCGTTTTAAACAAAAGTTGTGTACAATGTTTCCATTTGTAACATCTAACAAAGAACTGTACAATCATGTTGTTCCAGACTCCACAGGTCCTATGCCACAGTGGTATTCCATAGCAGTTAAAATATTGTAACTTAATGCAGTGATACAGCATTACTGGATGAGTGAAGTTTTGATATAATTTACTCCTCATGATAATATCAAGGTGAATAAACAACGTTCTCACCTGGTCTATATGGTTTCACCAGTTACAGGCTTTTGGTGTTACTCATATTGTATATCTTTTTATCTATCCGAAAATGAAGGTAAATAACTTCTACTGCATGCATTGGGCGTTGGCTTGTGTAACAAAGATTCACCGTTAGATTTTAAGGTTTTCCTTCTGTCTTATAATACTGTAAGGTTAGGTCAGTGCGAGCTGATTTTTTTATCTAGATAAATCACTTCTATGGAGTTTGTTAATTTAATTTTAATTAATTGGTGTAAAGGACATTCAGACTTAGAGAAAAACAAAAGCTCTAAGACATTTGGATGCATATTGTAAATAGCTTCAAGTTGGTCACAACAGAAAAAATTATATATCAATAGGGGAAAAAAGATTCAGTAAGGAAGAGAATAGTAGAGTATCGATTAAGACTCTCAAGGAGTTTGCAGTTCTTCCTCCATCAAGTAGTGGCTGAATAGTCAGTTAGCTGGCCTCGTTGTATGAAGGTCCCAGGTTTGATCTTTGGTGGAGTCATGGGCTCTTACTGCTGAATAATCCTAAATAAGGACGAAATGGACGTCCAAGACCTTACTGATGTACATGACAAATTTTCAACTCTTAATGTCTCATTGATACCACTTAGAAAGCTTACTGTTCCGTGGGACAGTCCAAACACAAGATTCTAATTAAATGAACAAGAGTATGACGTTTTTATTTGGAAATTCTTTCCACTATACAATATGTTTACAGAAAAATCAGTAGAAAAAATGCACCTCTAGAAGTCTTCCTAATATGTATTTCAACATTTTTGTGAGTTCTTTCAAATTACTAATAACAGAAGATATTTTTACATTCTATGATATCAGAAATAATCTTCAGGTCAAAGAAAGAATCAAAATATAGGTTTGAGAAGGTCTTACTCTTTCAAAAAATGGTCCCTTCTTTGTAACCAATGCCATCAAGTTCTAGCACATCATATTTATATGAAGAACACTATTTGTAGACAGTCTGAGAGGCGTTTCGATGTTACACAAAAATAATTTAAAATATTTAAAATTATAATGATCGCCTCTAACTACTATTGTCAATTTGTCAATTTAAGAATTTTCTTTATTATAAGGTAAGTCAGTGTATTTAACTTCTGAGGGTAATCACCCGCATAAAATACAACAGTTTTGGTTGGATTCTTATTGTGTTTTTTCTTCAGTTATTAACGATAAATCGTACACAATTGCATGAGGAAATAATGCTGAAGTTTTAACACAATCCTCATATTCTTCAGTTGTGATTCATCAAAAGAGATGGTATTTTCGGCATAAATCTCACCCTTTTCATGTGTCATTTCTTGTGTTCCGAGTAGCACACATAAGGCTTCAAGGTGTGAAGTTTCAGTAGCCGTTCTTCTTCTGATGAAGTGAGGTTGCTAGCCCACTTTCTACCCGTCTGACTACCGGTTAGACTGGAATCGAGGCCAAGCATGTCCGGTGAACATTATACCATTAAACATAAGTTTCAGCTACCTATCTCATTGTTTGAACTAGTTTAAATTGTATAGGATGAATATGTAAGCGTCACTTATGTGTAAAATTCTTTTCAATAAGAGACATTAGAATAACACTATTATCTGCATTAGTCAAAAAGAATTAAAAACATTGAAATATTCACAGTTTGAGTTTCAAATGCTTAACAAGAACATGCGTCCGTTCGTCGGTGGTTCAGTGGTAGAGCGTTGGCCGACCATACACTTGGCCCGAGGTTCGAGTCCCGGCCAGTGCACTCCTTTACCTGCCTCAGCTAGACAAGGAGGAAAGGTTGGGCGTGAAGCTAGCTACCCCACCCCGTAAAAACACCACTGCTACTGAAACTTCAAAGCTAAAGCTTGAAGCCCTATGTTCCACTGGGAACGTAAAGGAATAAAAAAACAAAAAACAAGAACATGATTCATCCACTGTCTAGATTAACTCTGATGCTTTCAATCAATTAACTAACAAAAATATGATAACAAGAAGTATATCCTACAAATATTTGTCACTAGATAACAGCTAATTTAGCTGTCTAACCAAAATCATCACGTTAAGTTGCTTAACCTTCATGCCTGTTGTGATGCAGTTTATGTTTCGAAAAATTAGTTGATAAGGTTTTGTGGAATGCAGTCTTGAGAACTGTCACGTCATGTTTAGTATGCTGACTACATTATTCTGTATCCTTGGGATGCTGTGAAACTATAAAGTTAAACAATACGGAAATGTATATGAAGTGAATGAATTAATAAATATGAATGATAAAATTTATCTGATAAAAAGAGTCAAATAAAAGTCACAATTAATTATCAATGAAAAATAATAAAAACTGGAAAAGATTTAAATAACAAATATAGATAAGGGTGTATGTCAGTGTTTTAATTCTATTCATTAAAAAAAATTAGTGTTTAAATTTATATAAGATATCCTGGTAACCGTTTATCTAAACAAATCTGTTCCTTTCCATTTGTTATTTAATTTCATCTTCAGTAAGTTTTTAAACTGAGTCACCTTATTTGAATTTTATTTTACCCAAGTAAATAAATCAATAAAACAATCTATTTATAGAAAACCTACCTGAATTGAACAGGACAGTATCTTAATTATCACAGTTTCTGCCTTGCTCGGGACAAAAGAGCCTTAGTAAGGTACCTCTTCAGTAGAATCCAACAAATATGCAATGAAGATACACGTGATGAGGGAGAGAGAAAGCTAACCGAAACTTTGGTTGATAATAATTATCCAGACAAATTCATTAGGAGATATAAAGTAGTCAGAACATCAAGACCCACTCTACAACTCGCCGCTAAGAAAGACATGTATATCAAGCTACCCTGCATGCGGGATCATAGCAGCTTGATAACTAGACAAAGATTGAACGCTGCTGCTAAAATGACTTTTTATGCAGCTAATATCATGATAATTGAGAATGTGAAGCCAATATATCCATCTAAGCCCTTTGAACATGCGAAAAATGATTTCACACCCCCACTGTATTTATCAACGTGTGGACACATATACATAGGGAGGACTCATAGATCTCTACAAGTAACGGCTTCCGGGCATATTCCTAAGTTGGCTGCAGAAGCAGATAGAATCCCCAGAACCCATTAATGGTGAGAACAGGAGACCTAGTTCCTCTATTGTGAAACATATTATAGAGACGGGAAATAAAACTGATGTTTACACGTCTTTTAGACCTATCTATAAAACGTGTTTGGGGCGTATCCTAAAGTTTGTGGAAGCCCTAGCAATTAGAAAGTTTAAACCACATTTATGCGTTCAAAAACAATTCGTTATCACACTAAACCAATCTTGGTAAGCTTTGTTTTGATACCACGGTAGATGTATTATTACCTCTGTTATTTGGTTTAGTGATCATTGTTATTTTGACCTTCAGTATGTCCTTTTAACTTGACCTAAGTCTATTTTTTCACCTCTTAACTCTTTATTAATTTCATACATGTGTATTCCTGTGACAAGTCCGTGTGTGATCATATTTTTTTAAGTAGCTATAAGTAAAATCTCGAGTTACCCAGAACAGGTTATAAAGCCCACTTACTGTTTGATGTCTGGTTATGAAACTCACTTAGTCGGACTGAAGTAATTGGGACAACACCTAAGGTACGCTGACTAACAAATTCTTATCATTCATATCCTTCTACAGTGAATCATGGACAACTTTCTAATGTTATCTCTTTCAGTCAAAAGTCAAAAGAAGACACTGTGACTCTGAATACAGCACAGTAGCAATCTAATGTTTATCGTCATTTACATTAAATTATAGAATCGGCTAGTTTCTTACAGCAAAAATCACGCCAGAGATCGGAACATAATGGAAAATCTTTGCGGAAGAAAACACCAGTTCACACTGCCATATCTTCAGACAGAACAAAACCATCAAATTATTACACAAGAGTATAAGCAAACATTTTCTTTATGGAAGCGATGTAGGTGTCAATAGACCACATATAAAAAATGAGAACAATTTCTTTCGCCAACTTCTAACTTACCATGATTAATTTAAATAGCTACATGGTGACAGCTTGTTCAATATCATCAGACTCTAACCAATGCAGAAATTGAAGCATAGCCTTTTACTGACAACTAAGGAGTAGTGCTGTTACCCTCTTGGGTTCCAAGTAGAAATAAGGGCTTCAGCAATATGTCAGCACTTCATTCGGTTCTAAGAAGTCATATTCAGCTGGCCTCACAATCGTCTATAGGTTTCCATTTCCTACTCACATGATCTCCTTCATGCCACTTTTGGATGCTCCGCTCTCTGTTTCTCACTAGAGTTCCACTCAAGGACCTGACGATTAAATTAGCAAACTAGGTGAGGTTGCCTCCAAATGTATAAACAACAAAATTAAAATGCTTTTTTTCTAGATATTCAATTTAAGCAGTTAGATAAGTATGCAGTTCAAGTGATATACAAGTTTTATTTTGGAAAAAAATAATAATTGGTTAGTTCCTAAACAAACTATTACAAAAGCCATAGTTAAATTTTGGTACAGTATGTCCAGTATGCAGGTGGAGAAAACTTCAAAAACAAAAGAATGTGGTAAAAAATATATTCACATCATACCAAGTTATGTGCAAACTAAAAATAATTCTTGCAGAAATAATGACTTTATTCAATAACAATTGTATAAAAGAAAACTTCAGTTAATCTGAGTAATTTGAAAAGGATCATTTATCAAAACTTTTAACTCTGTATGATGATATCATCAAAAAAACAGGTAAATTGTAGAACAATGGAATAAAACAAAAAAAGAAGGAAGGTTGGTAACAGTTTATTTCTGTAAAAGATCACGTGTAATCTCTAGATTCATACGATTTCGTTCAACAAGTATATCAGCCAATTCTTTATGATCTGATTGTCTAAGTGCATATTCTAATTCAGCAATTTTAACCTCATCTTTAACACTTTCACGTAATTTTTTCCAATACATCAGTGTTTTTTGTTTAAAGGCTGCTTCACGTTGATTGAATGTACGCATTTCTTCATAGTTATTAATACATGTTGTTAAGGGTATATTTAATAATAAAAATGCTCTTATATCATTTTCAGTCAATGCTTTAGCTATATTTAATATGCTTATATCAGATAGAACAGATGCTGATTGTTTATTCTCTTGTTCTTTATCTTCACTATCATCTATATTTTATGGATGAGAAAGAAGAAATACAAGGATTAAAAACTGTGTTACAGTGAATAACATGGTGAATATTTTATGCCATTTAAATTCATTCCTTTTTTGTCGGCCTACTCTTCAACTACATGAACCTGTATCCTGTTGCATACTAACTCCACTATTTATCCTCGAAATTATCAATATCACTTTAAAGATTAAAACTGAATGACCAACTGAGTTTCTACATTGGGCTTAGCACAGAAGTGTAGCTGCTCAAGTTGCCACATTCCACGTAGCATATAAACATAGACAAGGAGGAGAGAGGAATAAAAGGGATTCAAAAGAACCATTATAAGCAGAAACTCGAAGGCGCAAGCATAGTAACATATAAAAAATGATGGCTTAGTGGGTATAGAAGAGTGAATACATCTGAGCCACTGAGAACAATTTTGAGCCATATCACTAACAGTCTCTAGTCATTGGTTCTTAGCATTCCAAGGACCACAATCGGGCAGCCTACATCTCATTACGTGACCCAGGTAGTTACCTGGGTTCTAGTGGGAAGTCATGACCAGTGGGGTGCAGCAGGTTGGGTGTGAGGACAAATACTCGCCGATGACATTCGCTAGTGGTCGCACCATATCGTGAGTTGGAAAAAGTGGCCTAATGGTCTACGAGCTCGCCTTGTAACCAGAAGGTCCTCGGTTCGAAAATCAGTGGGTGCGTACTGATGAAGAGCCCCAAACTAGAGCGGACGAAACAGTTGTCCAATACTCCCAAGTCTTCCAATGGTCTTCTAACCGATGTCAGTTCATGATGGAATCCTGAAACCAATCAAATCCCTGCAAACTAACACTTGAATGTTAAAGATTTCATAGATTGATTCCAGGTTTTGGTTTGGCCAGCTCTAACTGCTTTTGCAGCTTAATCTTATGACGGCCAACATTACTTGTCAAGTAAGTCGATGGCTGAGCATGCTATATTAAAACAACTGTAACTGAGCTGCAAAGCCTATAACACAATTATTTAAATAACTTATACATTGTAAACCGCTTACCTGCCATTTTAAATGTGTTCTTTTAATTAGCGTTTCCTCTTAAAGGGATTGCTGCTGTTTCCTAAAATCGGAATAAATTTTATGAATCATTTTAACGTAATAATCTTTTAAGTAATGTTTTTATCGTTTATTTATCTTGTTTTATTTAAGAGTTTTAATAAAACAACAAACATATTGTTTCATAGCTGAACACCAGTAGCTTAAATTTCAGATATATATTCATTAATTTAAAACAGGCAACAGTTGTGAAAAAAAAGGCTATTTAATAAATTCATAAATTTTGATGGGACTTTTCAGCTGAATACTCTACAAACATGATTATTTATACTGGTTATTAAGGTTAACAGAATACAGGCACATAGACACGTTCACAGCAAATATTTTTATTTTTGATTATATTTTCTATAGTTTGGTTTGTAAGGGTTAGTTATGTTTTTACGAGTTAATCACGGACTGATATCAGTTAGAGAACCATTGAAAACCAAGAAGTACTAGATTATAGCTTGATTTCACACCGCAGTTTTGGTACATGTATGGAATTTTCAGCATGTGATATCGGTAGCCCAGATTTACCAGGCTGACCATTTATATCGGGTGTGCGCCAGCAAGGGATCGAACTCCGGACTATGTGCATGGTCGGCGAGAGTCCTAAACACTGTGCCAGCGACACACAATTCCAATAAATATACCATCGACAAGAGATAAGTGACAATTTGTTAATGTTATACCAGTAGTTTTCGACTTCAGGTGCATCCATTAAGTCGGTGATGAAGAAGTACGTTTAATAATAATGAAGTTAAACTTGAAGTGTCGGACAAGGAAGGAAAATCAGCCCATCAAATGGTGAAGTCCCATCGATTGAGATAGACAGGACATATGTTGTCCATATCCAGCAAATTCCTTCCTCACAAAGCAATATTAGCTTAAGTAGGACTAAAGTGCACAAGAGCTAGGAGTGTTCAAACTAAAACATCGGATCAATCAATGAAGTCTTTGACTGTTGGTTTGAGCCATACAGGGCATCATTCATTCATATGAAAGACGGTAAGTACTCACGTTTAAGGGGAATAATTTGGAATTCCATCAGAGCTACTGCTCTTAAGTTTAAGTCGACAGATGATAATGCATGAAACCTAGGGATACTAAATTCTTCAAAAGCCATTTTCAACAACTCTTCTCATTAATATAAAGATGAGTCAACAGTCACTATCATTTAAGTATTCTGATTTGAAAACTTGTCTAACCTGAAGAAATGTGGGTTTAGTATAACACAAATTTCATCTTTCTGTATGTCAGTGGAAAGCTTATGAAATGATTATTAGCCTTTCAGCTACGTACAGATTTAATGAAGCTGTGTCCTGAAGCGACATGACTGATGAGAATAACAACATGTACCTGATTTTCATAAACCTATGCATTTTGTTCAAGTATTTAATGTTTGCCACAATATTTCTGGTTGTGCTTGCTCCATATTTAATTAAGAGTTCAAAAGTGATTAAGTATACTAATTCCACTAGGGTGTTTTTCAAATTCTTGCATAAATCCAAATGAACTGATTGAAATCAATGGCTAGTCAAAAGTGGAAGGATATCTAACTTTATAGAAATAACTGCCTAATTTCAGTAAGATTTACTGGCATCACCTCGCTCTTTCCTCCTCTGTAATTATCGGACATGAAGTTTGGTGTTTAAGGCATACGAGCATTGAAAGTTGTTAGTTATGTGTATGTTTAGTGTTGTTCCACTGGCTATTTTGGGTTAGTTTATGTGAACATGTGTATAATTATTTGAAAATATGTAACTGCTTAGTTTCCTTAACTGATGTATTGAACAATGCCAAATGTAAAACAATGTTATATAAGACACTTTTGATAGCTCTTGAATAAAAAGCTATCTACTGTTTTGAAGTGCAACAGTTCCACGCCAGTATGGCTTCATTCGTTTGGCAACCCTCATTAGTACTAGACTGGGTTTTTTATTGTGCTGCATGTTGTCGTGTAGTGAATAACATTGGAAGAATGTTTTGTATGTCAGTGAGAAGGCGTTAAACTAACAAAGCCAGAAATTTGAACATTTTAAACAGACAGAAGCACTCGGTTCGAAGTTCACCTTTAGTTCAGAAAACAGTATCAGTAGTTGCATGAAGTTGGTTTGTGGCTATTAGTCTTCCTTCAAGATGAGAAACGCACTTCAGCAATACTATCTGATTTGTTTCCCTCGATAGTAAAATTTGTTTAGGAACAATCCACAAACACTGATGAAACGAAGTGTGGAACCTAATTATCGAGGCTTTTGTTACACAGACTACCTACGGTTTCGCTTTAGGAGTACAACCTATTCTTTCAAATTTTCATCTGGGTAATATGATAACCTTATGCTTATATCAACACTGTACTAAATTCCATTGAACCAGTTAGAAATACATTTAAAATGGTTTCTCACAAATTGGAACATCCTTATCACCTTGTGCATATTCCTTCAAAACCATACGCACACTGTTTTGAAATACACATATATGGCAAGGTGATTGATAAAGCTGAACATAGAGACTTGGGAGAAGTTGAAGCAACGATGTATGTATTATCAAAACTTTCACTTATAAGGAATTTTCCCTAGACTGGTGTATTTTAAATAGTCTCAGTAGTATTCTTTATTTGACAGTGGCTAAAAGTGGAACTGAAGATGCTCACTTCTTCCCTATTTGAACGAATGTGCTACCATCCTTAGTGAGTGATGGTAATTGCACTAAAATAATAATACAGAGATCAAAGTTTCAAACTATAGTTTTCGGTCGATTATAAATCTATCAACAGAAAATACAGAAAAACTTAAACAGATTACAATTCTCGGTAGTATTACACATTGGCGAAAGTTCAACATAAGGAAAAGAGAAAACAAGATTTTTTCAAGGATTTATCTTCCAGAAGCTCTATATTTCCACACAAATTCACATACCAAAACTGAATGATATAGAGATTAGTTAGCCACTGGGTTTATTTTTGGAATAAAATATCAACTAGTCAAATTTTCCTACAAGACTTAAAATGTTTGTTCCTGAAATCGAAATACTTTTCAAATGTAAAATTTCTATCCTAATGAACTTATGAACTTCAAATTTTATGGAATACTTGTTTTATTTTTAAGGGGGTCAAACTGTTAGATAAGTGTAAATGTATCTTAAGGTTTTTGAGCTCACAATATTACTACCAAGTTGTTGGTGCTTTCAACTCACTACAGTGAAGTTGGACTGGCCTTAATTCCGTTTCTTATTAGCTGTCTACTTTAGAATACTAAAGTTATGTTTACTGAAGAAAAAAACAGCACAGAATCAAAGAGAGATTTATATTCATGTTACGTACTTGTTTGAATAGGATTGCATTGTACTACCCTAAACACACTGAGTCATTTGAAATTTTTGAGCACTGGAGAAATAAATATTTATTTCAACAACAAATTTGATGGGGTTCTGATTATAAGTTCTAGATAAATAAACACCTATTTTTCACCATTAAATACAACAAAATAATGTTGGGATGATTACGGCATTAGGAAATTATTAAATAGGTTGTTATCTCCCACTAAATGTCTTTTGGTAAATGTTATTCAACCTCAAGTTTTCTCAGGAATTTATCAGGCAGTTAATAACAGTAGTCGATCATGAAATCGAAATTATATCCTGTTTAGCGAAATTTTAACAGCCGAATATCGATAAAACTGTTTTATTGGTCTCCAATTCATTAAAAAGAGACTGATTGCGTATATATTTTTGTTAAATCTTTGATTTTCTTTTGTTTTTGTTTCGCCTAGCAGGATACCGCTTCTTACTAAGTCTAATATTTTTGACAGACTCTGAGAAATTATTTTCGTTTCAAAAATTATGATAAGGATGTAAACCAACAAAGAAGACATGTTAAAATGCAAAACAGTCATCTCAGACAAAAATGTTAGTATGAAACTCTGTTCAAACTTAAGGAAGTAGGACGGATTTTCCTCAGTACTCAGAGTTTTTTCCTAGGTTGTCTTGGTGTTTGCGTTAATCGCATTTCAATGAGTAGTCAGTTATAAAAAGCCGAAGAAAGCAACTAGTTTAAAAAAGTTCAGGATGATTTGAACATTTAAAAAAGAAATCAAGTGTATGGTGTTTACCAAAGCTTAAAATAGGGGCAAAATAATACAAAGCCATTCGCCAATAGTGCTGTGTAAATCTGTAGGTGCCTAGAAACACTTAGTCTGTCCCGAATTATTGAGCGTATGGCTGACGATAGCACAGACTGCCGCTGTTTTTGGAAAAGATCGCATCATTTTAGCACCTCCACAGTATTTAACTACAATACATAATAGATCTATGTGAACTTTTCTTAGCATTGTGTCATTATTTTTGGATTTCAGATGTATGAATGCATTTTATCTTATTGAAAATGCTTTAAAGCCTTTTCATAGTTACTGCTCATACATCCAAAATCCTTCTGAAAATTTAAAAAAGAAATATAAAGTGAATAAAACTGCTGAGAAGTCACCTTACTTTTTGACAGCGAGAACAAATTCTAGTTTTGAAAAATCGCTAAGTCGGTGTAGAACCATCAATATCCAATATCCTGATTACGAGCTAGTATAAACAAGTGATTTCTTTGAGCTCGCTTCTTGATCGTAAGGTAGAGGTTCCAGGTCTTCGGTGAACTTATGCGTAGTAAGTCCCGCCACTCGACTGCTTTAGCTCTGGTAGACTCCAAGAGGAGTGGTGCGAGGATTGGTCAAGATGTGGTTTGTAGTGTGCAGTATGTTAGGACTGAGTTGCTGCCGTGATTGGAGAATGACCTAACACCCATAGGTCATTCGGTGTAGTCATAAAAGCAGAATAGTAATAATAATAATAGGTTGTAGTGTGCGTCGGTAGCACAGTGGTTAGGACTCTCGCCGACCATGCACATGGTCAGGGGTTCGATTACCTGCCGACGCACACCCGATATCTATGGTCGGCCTGTAAAATTTGGGCTACCAATATCCATGCTGAAAATTCCATACTTCTACCAAAAGTACTGTGTGGAATCAAGCTGTAAACGAAAAAATAAAAAATATAAGTGAAATAATTAGGGTGACCTTAGGAAAAGATAGAGTAGTCGGTACATGCATTTCTGCATGATTGTCCAGCTTCCGCTTAAAAGTCTCCACAGATGGCACTGTAGTCACGGCCGCCGGTAAGGCGTTCCACAGACGGCAAACTCGAAGCGAAAAGAAATGTGAACGCACTCGAGTCTTTGGTCTCTGCTGTGCTATCCTTAGCGGGCTACCTAGTGGAAGCCTATAATCACTTGACGGCAGGATGCTTTTATTAGGGTGGGCCTGGTCATTTAAGATCTTATAGACGGTGATGAGGTCTCCCCTGTGACTACGGTAACTAAGTGTGAAAAGACTTAATTTCTTCAGTCTTTCCTCATATGATTTGTTGCGGAGGCCGATCACCCATTTTGTCGCTCATGTCTGGACACTTTCTAGAATGTTAGCATCCCTTTTGAGTAGCGGAGGAGCAATGACATTATGCACCTCAAGGAGTGGCCTCACGTATGTCCTATACAACCTTAAAAATAGTTCGGGAGTAAGAGCTCCCAGCCGCCTATGCATAAAGTGTAAAGTTGCGTAAGCTTTGGCGACGTCCCTCGTGTAATTTACACTGGTGTCTAGCTTTTCTGTTAAAATAAGACCTAGGTCACGTTCTGATGGCACACAACTCAAGTTCTGGCCACCAAGGGCGTAATTTACACTCTGTGACCTGCCGGAATGAAGTTTCACTAATTTGCACTTCTTTGGGTTGAAAGGCATTCCGTTAGCCAGAGCCCAGTCTCCCAGAGTTTGCAGGTCAGCCTGCAATCTGTCGGAGTCTTCCGATGAGTTTATTGCTCTCCAAATCTTTACGTCGTCAGTGTAAAGAAGCGCAGAGCAGTTTGGTTGACAGGGCAGGTCGTTGATAAAAATCAAAAACACCAACGGCCCTAAGATAGAACCCTAAGGAACCCCTGATGCCGAGGTGTGCCAGGATGATCGGATGCGGTTGACTTTGGTGCAGAGTTCTCTCTCGCCTAAGTAATCTTTCAGCCATGCGAGAAGTGCTCCAGACACCTGCCTTGCTTATTTTGTGAAGGAGCAGACCATGGTGAACTGTGTCGAATGCTTTCACAAAGTCGAGAAAGATCACATGGACTGGTACTTTCACATCCCAGGATAGTGTCCAATCGTTCCAAGCTAGTAGAAGATTCGTCACACAGGATCTTCCCCTCCTGAAACCGTGCTGTGCTTCATGGATTAGGTTAGTCCCGTCGAAGTATTTTCTCATGTGGTCGTCAATGAGACTTTCCAATATCTTCGATGTCACTGGGAGTAGCGCAACTGGTCTGTAACTGGTCGCATTCTGCCGGTCACCACCCTTGAATATAGGGGATAGGATGGCTCGTTTCCATTCATATTGAAGTTTCCCTACATCAAAGGAGTGTTGAAACAGATCACTTAGGGGTTGGCAGAGACTTTCTGAACACTGTTTCAGGACAGATGGTCTTATGGCATCGCAACCTGCAGACTTTCCCGAAGCCAACTTTCCCAATTTTACGAGTACCGTAGACGGGGTAATTTGAAATGTACCCAGCAGGTTTTCGCACGTTGGTTTTGCATTGTAATCTTGATGTTTTGTGGGGTAAAATCCTCGTTATTATTCAGTTACCTGTGAAAGGCTAGACTGAATGTCTCTGCCATTTCAAGACTAGTAAGAGATTTCCCATCAGAACCCACTAGACTGCAAGCTCCCTGGTTGGTCGGTTTTCGTTCAGGCATAAACCTGTATAGGCTTTTGGGGTTCACGAGAAGCTTATTGGCGAGGTTTCTCTGAAATGTCCTTCTATCACTCCGGACAAGTATGTTACATCCATTCCTGAGTTCGAGGTACACTTCATGTTCGGGTTGACTCTTCGATACTCGCCACGCAGACCAGGCTTTTCGCTTCGCCTGTAGAAGGCGTTGTGTCCCCCTTTTTAGCCATGAACGTTGCTTCCTAGCTTTTGGTGTGACTAAAGGAACAGTGCCTGAGACCGCTCGGTGAATGATCTCCTTTACCACTCCCCAGTGTTCTTCTACTGTAAGCTCTGTCCAATTTTTTGGCCAATTTGCTTCAGACAAAAGTCTTCGCATTTCGGTGTAATTGGCTTTGTTATAACACAGATAGGGCTGTGTAATATCCCACTATAAAAGCTCGCGGAGAACTATGTCGAATACTATGACCGCGTGGTCACTACTACCTATGGGAGTCGTGATCTGAACGTCTTCCACTAGTAGCTGGTCACTAGTGAGCACATAATCCACTCTAGAAGACTTCCCATCTGGGCCCCATCTAGTATCCATTCTGACATTTTCAGTGAATCCAGCGTCCCTGATGGTATGCAGCAGATTTCGATCAAATCTATCATGGACATATCCCGTCATCAAGTTAGGAGATGAGTCATTGAAGTCTCCAGCTATGACAATTTGATCATAACCCATGTCTTGTGTCGCTGAAATTGTACTCAGAAGTACCTGCTTGTGGTCTCTTCACATGAAGGTGATCGATAAATGCTGCCCACTAGATATTTACAGTACCCAAAGGTGAAATGGTACCATATGGAGTCAGGGAGCTCAATGAGGGGAGTGTCCATTGCATGGACACATCTGAGCTGTTTGTCGACGTATATGGCGACTCCACCTCCTTCTTTCAGATCCCTATCTCGCCTGACTAGGACCATATCATTTGTACTGACTTCGCTGTCTGCCACCTTAGGGGTTAGCCAGGTTTCCGTCAGTATTACGATTTTTTTATTTTATTTATTTTATTTTTGATTTACAGCTTGATTTCCACACCGTATTTTCAGTACAAGTGTGGAATTTTCAGCATGGATATCGGTTGCCCAAATTCAGGCATACCATAGATATCGGGTGTGCGCCGGCAGGGGATCGAACCCCGGACCATGTGCATGGTCGGCGAGAGTCCTAACCACTGTGCCACCGACGCATAATAATAATGGCTTTATTGCAAACAGTATTTGTGGTACAGGTATGGAATTTTCAGCGTTCATTACAATATTGCATCTAATTACCTCATAAATTTTATAAGGATTTAAAAATATAAAGCAATAACAACAAAAAGAAAAAAGAGAAATAAAAGAAATGAAAAAGAACAGCATTGCATTCACATATTTAAACAATGCACCACAGGATATGATATATAAAATTAGTCTGTAATAGAATATATGAGCAACAATATAATAGTAACAAAGAAAGGAGAACAAAAGCTAATGGGAACTATTTGTTAGAGTGCCGCTGTAAGGTGATCGTGTCGTGCCTAACAGTTTTCTCATCACATAACAGCTGTGCCAGATAAGGTATTGTGGAGTTTTACACTTGGTAGTCCTGGCATATAGCTTCCTATAGTTGCTTCTAGTTCTACCAGATGAAATGCAAGGAGAGAGCTGCGTATGGAGAAGGTGTTCGGGGTCTGACAGTATAGAATTCGCTAGTTTCTTACATGACATTATATGTCTATCCACAATAGTGTTAACCAGTTGGTTTAACGAAATCCCACTTGCCCTACTAACAGCTTTTAGTGCCCTATGCAGCGAAGCAAAGTCTTTCATAAGTAGTCCAGGGATGATTAATGGGGAGCAGTAAAGAGGGATAGGTAGAATACAGGAATTGACAAACTGAGAAAGCAAAGACTGCTTTATACCAGACTGCCTAAACTTCCTAACGTAGAACGTTAAGCGAAACATCTTTCTAGTGACTAGGAAGATGTGAGAGGACCAGGAAAGATCGGAGGAAATACTCAGTCCAAGGTACTTGACATTTGATGTAGTTTCAACCTCTATGCCGTCAATGATAGTGGGACCATGTGAGCTAGCTAGTTGTTGTAGGTCACGTCTTCAACTGAAAGTGAAATTTACTACCTGACATTTAGACGGATTCAGCTTGAGATCGTTTGAAGAGGACCACTGACTAATTTTCGAGAGAAAGTTATTTAATTTGGAACAGTCTGACTGAGAGTTGACAGGCATGGAGACAGAGAGGTCATCAGCACACTTGACAAAAGTGGCTACATCAGAATGGGGCAAGTCATGTAGGAAAAAAGAAAACAGAAAAGGAAAAAGAACAGCACCTTGAGGAACACCAGCTAAAGTAAGTGAGGTAGTGGAGGACTTTCCATTGTAGACAGTGTACTGCTTCCTATCGGAAAAGTAGGAATACAACCACTTATATATCCAGCTCTCACTTTGTGTTGCAGCAAGCTTACTTAACAAGAGAGACCTAGGTACAGAGTCAAATGCAGATGTTTAATCAAGGAAGGCACACCGAACATATTTGGCTCCTCTATCTAAAATGGAGACTATATTATGATGTAGAACTACAGCGGCATCCAAGGTACACCTACTATGTTTATAGGCAAACTGGTTGGGGTCATTAAAAGGCTTTAAAGAGGGTTCAAGATTAAGTAAAATAAGTCTTTCCATAACTTTTAAAAAAGGGGAGGTAATAGCAATGGGTCTAAACTTGACAGTAGGTCCACTTGTT